TATTTGGTATGCCTAATGTGACAAAACAAACTTGTCTGAATAAGTCATCATTTAAAGTGAGTAATGTGACAAATACTTTGTGTCGCAATTACTTTTGTTAAACATTACTTGTTCAAACACACTCACGGTGCACTTCGACAACAACAATCGGGTGGGGTTTTGCACTTGTGGGAAATTCCAAGGACATAAAATTCATTGCTCTCATGCCATTGCAGCTTGCAACCAAATGGAGGGCTAACCAATATAGTTTTGTAAATGACATCTACAAGCTTGAAAGAGTATTGACTTGTTATGAGGCAAGTTTCACACCTCTTGGTGAACCTAAGGGTTGGAAGAAGCACAACAGACCTACACTCCATCCTAATCTGCACATAATTTGGAAGTCGAGGAGGCCACGATCAACAAGAATTCACAATGAGATGTATTGTCCAAGAGAGGGTGTAGCTCAACAAGTGTATACAAACTACAACTAATCTGGACATAATGCATCAACTTGTGGTGGCCAAGCAAGTGGTAGTGAGAGCCATCGAAGAGGACGGGGTGGTGACTGGTTAAAACACAACACCAAAGTACGAGAAAGTGCAATCGTAGTTTGGAAATGCATTATAGTGTGTTCAGATTTACTTGTGAACCCAGGTCCTTGGTGTACTGTCTACTCCGTGAATCTCTATTATCTAGCTGTTCAGTTCGAGTGAAGATTATCAAAAGCAAAAACAAACAGAAAGCAAGTAACGGTTGTATTCAGATTAAGAAGGCTCTCTTAGGTATGAGTCCCCCTAGATCGCAGTTAGGCCAAGTTGTAATTCACCTAAGTCACTTCGATTGATGTTTAAACTACGGAAAGTTCTCAAACACTCTGGAGTGTTGACTAAAGTGCTCCAGACCCTCTCATTTTGAATACCTGGCGGGGGACTAACCTCCAATAGCGTAAGCTAATTGAGGCAATAAGATTCAAACTTCCTCTACTGGGTTCTACACCAGTCCAGAGCAGTGAATCGACTTCTCAACTAAAGTCTCCGATTCACTACCTCCAATCAAGATGCTCTATTGACCTATGCAGAGATTATCTTTCCAGGTAAAAGCAGGAATCACTAGAATTTGATCAAGACGCAAGCAATTCTGAATAAATACTTCAATCGGATATAAATCAATCAACTATTCATGGTAAAGGGTTCATACAACTTTTCCTAACATACAATCTAGGGTTCTTACGTACCTAAGTGGTAGAGGGGATTTCTCCACAAATACAGAGAGGAAAGCTATGCTGGATGTAGAAATCATCGTGTAGACGGAAGAAATATGCTTCGGATCGTCAATCGTCACTTCTCGAGGCTTGAATCGAGCTCCAATGGTGGGGAAACTTGATCTATGGCACTCAAAGATCTCTCTTCGTCACACACACACACACACACACACACACTCTCTCTCTAAATTATGTTTTCATGTCCAGAAATCGAAGGGTATGTCAATCTCCCGTTTCCGGCTCAGTAAACCCGACTTCCAAATCCCAGGCCAAGTTCCCCCGTCGGGTATTTAATGCTAGACCGGGTTTTGCCCAAAACGACGAGCATCAATTAGTCATCGTACGGGATTTCCCCGGTACCAGGTTGAAACCCCCGATCGAGGATTAATGGGTCATTGCCTAGAGGTAGGACTGGACGACTTCCCCGGTCTCAGATGCAATTCCCCAGTCGGGGCGAGGTGAGCTAACCTAGGATTGCAGTTCTCGAGCTCCTCCTTTCATCCACTTGGTGTTTTTTTATCTGAAACTCGCCTCCAAGCATGCATAGTCGATCTAAGACCTGAAATACGCCATACAGGAACAACCTAGCGTGAAATCAGTTTAAAACACGGGAATCGAGCCTCAAATAGTGTAAGAATGATGGCAAAAATATGTGCAAATATCAAGTTATCAGGTAGCCAACGTCGCACGAGAGGTAGTCATAGAAGAGAAACTAGTGGTAATAGACCTGGCAGTAGTATGGTGGAACTTTTATTTGTTGTTGTTTGGAGTAGTTGTTGGAACTTTTTTGAACGATGTAGTATTTTTTTTATTGTTTGGAGTAGTGTTAATAGACGTGGACTATAGATTATGCATTAAGTCAGCTTGCGCGGACCCGCGTGCGCTAGTTTTATTTCCTTCTAGGTCGTGCGGGTTCGCGTTTGTTAAACTAATTTATATAGCTCGCGCGTAACCGAGCATTTTGTTCCTTCGAAACACAATATCATTGTCAATTGTTTTTAAACTGCTATATTTGTGGTAAAGTTAAATAAAAAAGATATATTTATGTAAATTGCCCCTAATGTTACAAGGAAAAGAAATGAAAAAAGCTAACGGGAAGGTATTGACCGGCAGACGCCGGTGCCCACTAAATTTCTTAGTTTTTCTTTTTTCTCAATCTATGTCTTAAAACTTAAGAGCATTTATACTATGCTATAAAGCATTGGTGCTTTAATATACAACTTGAATTTGTATAATAACGTTAAATGTATAAGTTCAAGTTGTACTATAAAGAAATTTGTACTCTTATGTTATGGTACAACTTTACAACTCCTATACTCTTTTGTACAAATTTTTTTATGATACAACTTGAACTTATATATTTATTTAATGGTAAAACTTTTGAAAGAAAAAACCTATAGCACCATGCTAAAATTCTTCAAAACTTAAATGAGAATAATCTATTTCAATGACGTAGATTCATATAAATTAACTAATTTAAAAGTATATTTAAATTTGAACCGAACAAATCTCGGGATAAACAAGTGGAAACAAAAGCAAATTAGTAATTAGTGAGCATGCGCCATCCGGGAGCCTGGGATATGCTTATTTGGGGAAGGCATATTCCTCTGAGAAATTGAGAAGCATATGCATTCAACTAAGGGTGGGTATTCGGTCGGTTCGGTTTCAATCGAACCTAAATTATGAATGTCGGGTCTCCGAATTCTCCCAAATCTCAAACTGAATTCGAACCGAATTATAATTCGGTTGGGTTGGTCTAAACCAAACTATAATTCGGTTCAGTTTTTCACACAAAACCGAATTTGTGATGCTACTTGTATTTTCTCACTTTTAAATTATTTTTCACCCCTAATATAAACAATAAATATCAATTATATGCATCAGCAATGATAAAACCAAACTTTTCAACACATAAGTCATAAAACATTTCAAATATTTAAGTCTAAAAACAACTACAAACATAAAAAAGCCACCATTTGGAGCTTGCAATTATAGTATTTCGGTTGGAAATTCGAAAATTCGGTTCGGTTGAAAGAACCCTAATTTCCGAACTATCTATATTTTCTTTCCGAATTCCGAACCGAATATAACATTAATTCGGTTTCAGTTCGGTTTAATTTGGTTTCAGTTCGGGTTTGCCGAACCGTTTGCCCACCCTTACATTCTTTGTCAAAAAAACTGGAATGGAATCTGCTGAACAATCACATCACATCACTCCGTTCCGTTTTAGTAATAATTAATTATGAAATTGATAGAAAAAAGGAGGGGAAAATGTGAGAGAGAGGGAGACTCGTCGAGAGAATCAAATATCAATCACGCCGGCCAAACTCCCCGCCCGCGTGTTGAATGGCGTCGTGCAGCTAGCTAACGGAGAACCGGCCAGGGTTGACCTCCCATCTAGTTAGTTGTCTTGTCAGCCCCTTGTAATTTATTTTACTTTACATTTCTCCTCTAAAATAATAAAATTGATTAATGAACAGAAAGATTAAATATGTTCCAGATGGGTTGTTTTCTTTATCATTTAGAAAGTAACTTTGGACACGAATTGTATGATCAGCTTGAAATGAGTATTCCCTAAAATTAATTTGAAAAGATAGAATAATATAAAAAAAAAAAAAACACTAAAATGATTAGTGATCAAAGTTCTTCTTTTCCTATCTTCTCTCATTCCTCGTGTCTAATCCCATTTGCGATTTATTGTTCCATGGACGTTGTCGGCAGTGTGTCCTCCAAAGACTTTATCGCCGACTTCCACCATTGGATCTCATTGTTTGACATCGCTGAGGATAACCGTTTATCATACGTGAAACCGATTTTTGGTTGATTGCGTACTCTAGACAACAAATATGCTTCCAATTTGTGATCGGGAGGGGCAAAATTCAAGTAGGACAAAAAAAAGTCCAATGGTTAAACAAAATTATAAATTTGGTGATCACTAGTGCATTAAAAAAAATTTAGTGATAAAAGTAAAATAAAATGGCAAATTTAGCGACCAAACATATGTCATTTTGTCAGAAAAATATGTTCTAATATGGCGAAGAAAACAAGACTCCCATTTGTTTTAAGTAAATGCTTGGTAGAAATATATATATAACTATAAAGGTACATAAGAGACCGTCTGTTACCAAATGAATAGAGAATTCATTTCATTGTAAAATGAATTACCGTGTAGAATTTATTGTCAAATGAAATCTTGTATTTGGTATGCCATATTCAAATCTTTAAAAATAAAATAAATTGTCATGTAGAATTCGTTCTCAAATGAATTCCTTTGCTTGGTATGTCATATGTAATAAGTAATTTAGTAATAAAAGAGGATAATTATATCATATTATTATAATTAGTAAATACTTTGGAATTAATTTGAAAATTCCATCTCAATTCCTCGGAATTGCTATAACTAGTTTCAATTCCATAAAATTCAAAATTTAGAATTGAAAATAAATTCTTTTAAATACCAAACACAAAAAAATGTTCATTTCAAAATGAATTACTCAAAATTTATAGAATTCATTTATACCAATACTCTAAAAGAAATCAATGAATCTCATCCAAGTCATTGGAGTGGAGAAGCCTCACAATTCTGAATTCACAAATTTTAAACAGAAATAATTTCCAATTTAAAGGGATTATTATTATAATTATTTCGCAAGAAAACGAAAAAACAAAAGGGAAAAAGAAGAAAGAGGCGTGTCGTGTTTGTCGATGGGCCCAAAAATTGTAATATAAATGGTGGATGACTAGTAGTAGTAGTAGAGGGAAGAAAAGGGCGATCTAGATAGTCGTACGGACGAGAGCGAGAGACAGCAGGCGGGCAGCGAGCGAGTGATACACATCCACTCACTCTCAGATACTGCAGAGTGCAGAAAGAGAGATCACAAGAGTTCGACACAGAAACTCAAACTCTCTCGTCAGAGTCAGTCAGTGAGTTCCTCTTCCTCCTCCCCTTCATCAAGCAAATCTCCCTGTTCTTGGCTTCCTTTTGAACTCTCTGCCCACCTCACCAGCTGAGCTGCTCTGTTTTTTTTCCCCCCACCTCTTTTACTCCCCTGTGAGCTCCCTCTTCTCTTTTTTTACTGGTGATTATCACGAGATTCTGCTCCATTCTCCGTCTTTCTCTTTTTTGTTGATAGTATTTATGGGTTCCTTTGTTTCGATTACTTGGTTTAACTCAGAACCCAATCGGCTCTTTTTTTTGCATCTGTAGATCGGTTTTTGCGTATAGCCAGAACCCGAACCAGAGATGGCAGCCCCGTTGCCCACCCGGAATTTGGAGAAGGCTACCTCCATTGATGCTCAGTTGAGGCTTTTGGCTCCCAGGAAGGTCTCTGAGGATGACAAGCTTGTCGAGTACGATGCTCTCTTGCTCGATCGATTTCTCGATATCCTTCAAGATTTGCACGGCGAGGACATCAGGGAAACGGTACTTTTTTTTTTTGTTTCTCAAAATAATCTATTCCTGTCTCATGCTTCTGTGATTTGCTCTATTGGGTACCTTTGAAATTAGTTATATCTGTTAACCACCGTTGTCAAGTCTCCATCTTTAAGGTCCAAGACTGTTATGAGCTCTCTGCTGAGTATGAGAGGAAGGGTGATGCTGGCAAATTGGAAGAGCTCGGGAAGATGGTGACGAGTTTGGATCCTGGGGATTCAATCGTTATTGCTAAAGCATTCTCCAACATGCTTACCCTGGCCAACTTGGCGGAGGAAGTCCAAATCGCATACCGAAGAAGGATCAAGTTGAAGAAGGGAGACTTTGCTGATGAGAATTCAGCAACCACTGAATCTGACATTGAGGAGACTCTCAAGAGGCTGATTGTGCAACTCAAGAAGTCCCCTGAAGAAGTTTTCGATGCTTTGAAGAGCCAAACTGTGGATTTGGTCTTGACTGCTCATCCTACTCAATCTGTCCGTAGGTCTTTGCTTCAGAAGCATGGAAGGTTTGTTTCTTCATTTTTTTGGGGGGAAAATACATTCAACTTAAAAAAAAAAAAAACTATCAGGATTTATATGGCCATTCTTATTATTATTGCTTGTATGGTTTGGCTATTTTCAGGATTCGTAACTGCTTGACTCAATTGTATGCCAAAGACATTACCCCCGATGACAAACAGGAGCTTGATGAGGCTCTACAGAGAGAGGTACATACATTTGAATTCGTTCGCTCTCAGGTTTAACTTGTTACGTTGGTTAATGGACTGCGAAATCGCTTAAATCGTAAAGTTGATGTTCCATTCTTGTTACAAGCATGCCACAATTCCACGTTTTCTTTGACAGGACCAGCTGCCATTATGTTATGCATCTTCTTAAGGATGATATTCTCAGCAAGGTACTAATATATTCTGTCTTGTATTTAGATCCAAGCTGCTTTCAGGACTGATGAGATTAGAAGGACTCCTCCTACTCCACAAGATGAGATGAGAGCAGGAATGAGCTATTTCCATGAGACAATCTGGAAAGGAGTCCCCAAGTTCTTGCGCCGTATTGACACAGCTTTGAAGAACCTAGGGATAAATGAACGTGTCCCCTACAATGCTCCTCTCATTCAATTCTCATCTTGGATGGGTGGTGATCGTGATGGTGAGTCATGTTTTCCTCATACTTGTAAATTGTGTATTTTCGATCGAGTTGACTTTTTGAAATACCTACTGTAGATTCTTCTTCAAGTATAGTTTGAGTGTCAAGTGACTAAGCAATCTGCAAAACTGTTATGACAAGCAGTTTATGGTAACTGGCTTTTTTCCAATTATGTATTTGTCATAAACTGCAGGAAATCCACGTGTGACTCCTGAAGTTACTAGGGATGTCTGCTTACTGGCTCGCATGATGGCCGCTAATTTGTACTTCTCTCAAATTGAGGATCTCATGTTTGAGGTATGAAAAGACCTTTTTTTGTTGTGCGACTTGGAGATTGTTCTTTCTGCTTCACCATTAGCTTAGCAGCAAGGTTGTAATTATATCTGCAGTTGTCCATGTGGCGCTGCAATGAAGAGCTTCGTGTTCGTGCAGAGGGACTTCATCAGAATTCGAAGAGAGATGCCAAACACTTCATAGGTTTGTATCACTTTCATCAACTTTCAATCCCAGGTTCTTCGAAAGGATTTATTTGAAGCCAGTTTCAGAAATGAATGGTACATAATTATCATAACTTGCTTCATCTGCACAGACCTTCCGTAAATCCCCCATTTATCCCTTTCTATTATCTTAAGGTTAGGACTGCCTAATGCTTCTGTATTCGTGAGGCCTTGCTGGCAATTCTTGAAGTTATTGGCTTCCTATTCCCACATACTGAAGAATCAATCTCGATATACGCAATTCAAACTTAAAAATTTTCAACATATGACTTCCTTCTACTCTCTACAAATGCACAGAATTCTGGAAACAGATACACCCAAACGAGCCGTACAGGGTTATTCTTGGCGACGTGAGGGACAAGCTGTATAATACACGGGAACGTTCTCGGCAATTATTAGCAAGTGGAATGTCCGATATTCCTGAGGAATCGGCTTTCACCAATGTTGAGCAGGTATGGTTGTTTTTCTATCAGAGTATATTCTAATTTCTCAACGTTGTAAAAAGTTATATCTCCAGTCTACTGTTAAACTTTCTAGTTACTTTCTATCTTGTAACTTACCATCTATGCTATGCCTAACTCGTGTTTCTTTCAATATAATGGGTTGTTTGTCCAATCGTCTGGCATTCGTTGCCTGTTTTGGTTTGAGTCTAGCAGTAGCAGAAGTGTTTCCGATTCTAACTTATAAAATTCATGCTCGATTCATCTACCTATATTTGGTCTCAGCATTGATGTTATTTACAGTACCGCTGGTTGCCTTCAGTTAGAAATGAGTTTTTCTCGTTTTCTGTTTTTGGTTTCTTGATCTGAGAGTGCTTTCTGAACAACGACCACTTGGGTTTTAGAATTTGAAACATTCTTTACAAAAACGTTAAAAAAAAACGAGGTTAGCTTGCTGGTTTTTCACTTACTGGTGTTCTCTTTTCTTTTTCGAAACAGTTCCTGGAGCCTCTTGAACTCTGCTACAGATCACTCTGTGCTTGCGGTGATCGGCCCATTGCTGATGGAAGCCTGCTTGATTTCTTACGCCAAGTTTCTACTTTTGGTCTCTCACTAGTAAGGCTAGATATCCGGCAGGAATCCGACAGGCACACAGATGTTCTTGATGCCATCACAAACCACTTGGGAATCGGATCTTATCGTGAATGGTCCGAGGAAAAAAGACAAGAATGGCTCCTTTCTGAGCTCCAAGGCAAGCGGCCTCTCTTCGGTCCTGATCTTCCCAAAACCGAAGAAATCGCCGATGTGCTAGACACTCTACACGTCATTGCTGAACTTCCGTCTGACAGTTTCGGTGCATACATTATCTCAATGGCCACATCTCCATCTGATGTGCTCGCTGTTGAGCTCTTGCAGCGAGAGTGCCATGTGAAGCAACCATTGAGGGTTGTTCCTCTGTTTGAAAAGCTTGCTGATCTCGAAGCTGCTCCTGCTGCTGTAGCTCGTCTCTTCTCGATTGACTGGTACAAGAACCGGATCAATGGCAAGCAAGAAGTCATGATTGGGTACTCTGACTCGGGGAAGGATGCCGGGCGTCTCTCTGCAGCTTGGCAAATGTACAAAGCTCAAGAAGAGCTCGTGAAGGTGTCAAAACAATATGGTGTCAAGCTTACTATGTTCCATGGCCGAGGAGGGACTGTGGGAAGAGGAGGAGGACCAACCCATCTTGCCATATTGTCTCAACCACCGGACACCATTCATGGGTCTCTCCGTGTCACCGTTCAGGGTGAGGTCATTGAGCAGTCCTTTGGGGAGGAACACTTGTGTTTCAGGACACTCCAACGTTTTATAGCTGCCACGCTGGAGCATGGGATGCGCCCACCTGTATCGCCGAAACCAGAATGGCGTGCTCTCATGGACGAAATGGCTGTTACTGCAACCAAGGAGTATCGCTCTGTTGTCTTCCAGGAACCTCGTTTTGTTGAATATTTCCGCCTTGTAAGTCTTCTTCTGAACATTGATCTAGCTTAAAAAAAAATACTCAAATTCCAAGATTTTGATGCTCTAGTGTATGTTGGCCTGATTCCTAATCGTTGGAATTGGAACTTCTGGCAGGCAACACCAGAGTTGGAGTATGGCCGTATGAACATTGGAAGTCGGCCATCAAAGAGGAAGCCAAGTGGAGGAATCGAATCACTTCGTGCAATCCCTTGGATTTTTGCCTGGACTCAGACGAGGTTTCACTTGCCTGTGTGGCTAGGCTTCGGAGCTGCTTTCCAGCAGGTTATTGCCAAGGATATCAAGAACCTCAACATGCTCCAGGCGATGTACAATCAGTGGCCATTCTTCCGAGTCACCATTGACTTGGTCGAAATGGTGTTCGCCAAGGGTGACCCGGAGATTGCTGCTTTGTATGACAGGCTCCTTGTGTCACCTGAATTGCGTCCATTTGGTGATCAGTTGAGAGCCAAGTATCTCGAAACCAAGGACCTCCTCCTCCAAGTATGAAGGAACAACTTGAACAATCTACTCAAGTGTGTTTGCATACAACATCTTTTCCTGAAAATTGGTGCTTTTGGTTTCTCTACTTGTGCAGATTGCTGGGCACAAAGACCTTCTGGAAGGCGATCCTTACCTGAAGCAGAGGCTTCGTCTGCGTGATGCTTACATTACAACTCTCAATGTCTCCCAGGCATACACTCTGAAGCGTATTCGGGACCCTGACTACCACGTTACTCTGAGGCCACACCTGTCCAAGGAATACAATGATGCTACCAAGCCTGCAGCCGAGCTGGTGAAGCTCAACCCTACGAGCGAGTATGCTCCTGGTCTGGAAGACACCCTCATTTTGACCATGAAGGGTATTGCTGCTGGCCTACAGAACACTGGTTAAAGCAAAGCTCGAAGGCCAAGGCAGTTAACCTTCCTACCCGTTTCCTCGCTTCATCTTATATAGTTGTCTTTTGTACTATTTGCGGGAATATGAAAGAGATGCTGCTGCTGCAGAAACACTGGCTCAGCGTTTGATTTGGAGCTCTGAAATTATCTTCTTCCTTTTTTTATATCCTGAAATAAGTGTGTCTGCTACTCTTTTTTCCTAATGCAGTGTGTACTGTCCTTTAGTTGCCATTTTCCTTGTATTTGAATGGAGAGCAGGTTGGTACCACCGTTAATTAAGAACTTTACGATTGTCTTGTTTCGAATAGGCATTGTCTGGTTTCGAATACGATTTGGCCTATGATGATAGTGACATCTGACTTTTCGGTACTTATCCTTAACGTGGTCGGTAAGGCTAACCGCAACAATACCCTTTTAGTCTTAAATAATTGGCTACAATCTAGGGGAGTTTGCTTAATGGATTTGATTATGGATTTGGTACATAAAAATCAATTATTATGAACTTTGTACACAATTCATTATTTGCTTGATGGATTTGGGAGAGACAAATTCATGAGGCACATAGTTTTTTAGGGTGCAAATCCGTGGACCCCACGGACTTGGAAATTCCATTTCAAAGGCTGGGATTTGTGTGGGTGTCTCAAATCCATTATGGTTATTTACTACTTTATCCTCATTTTGTTTTGTTTCTAATAATAAATAAGATATAGTAAGGTTAGATAGGTAAATTCATAATGTAACCACAAATATAATTATGCAAAATCCATCATGAAATCTATCAAGTAAACAATGATTTTATCCAAAAACCAAATTGACCAATTCCATCATAAATCATTGGTTTTATAAAACCCAAGTTCTGACCTAAACCTTCATTTATCAAATCCATGAAGCAAACGACCCCTAAATGGCAAAAACTGAATTTTGGGGACCAAATGAGTATGTTTGAGGAGGTTTTAAAGTGGAGGCTAAATCTGTGAATCAAAACCATAAAATGGGGCCTAATATGTGGGAATCAAAACCATAGAAAGGTGTGAGACGAACAATAGTCGTACTCCACAGGGTGCGTTGCACTTGCACCCCAAGGGGGCGTGCTTGCGGCCGCTGCTTGCTTTCTTGTTTTTCTTTTCAATTGATTAGAGCATTTCCTCCAATCTTTCCTCTTCATCGTCCATCGTTGTTGGATTTAAGAATGGTTTCGCTGAATTTCAGAATTTGTGGTTTTTTATTTAAGCGATGACGAAGGTGACAATGAAGAAGACATATAGACGGAGTTTGACTCGTCTCGAATATCACAATAAAAATCTTAATCAATGCTTAACTATAAACCTTAATTAGGTGCAATAGGTAAGTATGTTTTCAAAGTCAAACCCGGGTCGGTCCATGTACCCCTACTTCGATTGTTTGAAATATTATCTAGCAATTGGTTTTTGGTTAAAACTACGATTTATAACTAAAACGATTGAAAAATAAATGGTTTGAACACTAATTGAGAAGACTTCACCCAGGTGTTGCTCCCCCTAGCTAACAATCATGGTTTGTCGGATCGAATACAAATGTGTGGTAAAGCCGGTTGTAAATCTTAGGAACGTGCAACAAGTGAACAACCGTCACTCTTTCTGTCTCTAGGCCAAGGGATATAAAATCAAGCTACCAAGGTAGCTCTCTTGGTCCAATCGACTAAGGGTTTCTTACTTCACCCTCAAACAATATTTCGGACGGCCAAATTACAACCTACTAAAGGTTCTAATACGTATTAAGAGGTTTGCCCTAATTCAATGTAGGTAGGTGACACAATTGGCCAATGAATTCCAATTTTTACAAGCCTCTTCACAAGAAGAGGAATCCCTCTACCTAAGTCAAAATGGGATAAGAATTGGAAATGCAAGAACACACACAATCTTCATGAAAATACCTCATAACTTGTGTTAAAACACAACCACACACAAGTCATTCAATCCATACAAACATTCACATAATTGTAGTTAGGATTTACAAACACCCAACTGAAAGAAAGGTCTACTCAATGCTAAGTAGAGGGAATACAAAATGGAGAAGAGAGAAAACCATATTAGAGATGTTTGCCTTCTTCGTTGTGGTGTGGAGATCAACCTTGGAGGAAGAACTTCCCAAAAACTAGCTCTTGGATGAAACACCAACTTCTCTTCTCTTCTTGTTCGTTACTTGCTCGCTCTAGAAATCTGAAGAAGAAGTCTCTCTCACTAGGTTCCTCCCCCTTTTCTCTTTCAGCTTAGCCCCTTTATATACCCAGATCGACTGCGTTTCACGGTCCCAGTTCACGGCTGTGAACATCTGGCCCGGACTGTGATGTCGAGCAAAAATGCGTTGTTTCATTAATGGAGTTCACGGTCTGGAGTGACCGTGAACTAGTTTATGCATGCGAGATGGGCAAAACCTTCTAGACTCCTCGCTCTTCACGGTCTGGATGGCCGTGAACTTCTAGCCTCCACCGTGATCTGCTTTTGTTGCTCCCTTTGGTTTTGCCCCTTTTCGTCCAACTTTCTTTTCATGGGTTGATTTCACCTGCTAGGATCTGAAACATACTAAAACCAACCACAACCTAGCGTAAAAACGAACCTCATGGAGTAAAAGTATCTCATACATCTAAGGATAAAGGAGGTAAAAAGTGTACAAATAGACCCGAATCAGAGTTCTTTCGTTGTTACTAATTTGATGTAGCCAACAGGTGGTGTGACATGTCGCTCTGGAGATAATGTTGGAGCTGAAGTGACATCGGCCTCAATTTGTCGTTAATCTTTCTAACAACATATCTAACAAAAATGGATATTTGTTCAAAAAACCTCCTGAAATATGACTATATTTGTCATTATCTCTACACAAAATATAATAATTGAATGAAGAAAATTGTTGGCCATTTCATATTTTCTACAACGAGAGTGGAAGTAGGAATAATATTTTTGTCTTCACAATTATTTATTTCTTTCTTATTTATAAAAAATAATAGACAAGTATTGTAATTTGAACCACGACCCTTTAAACATACATAGAGTCATAACCATCTATATATACTCACCATATTTGTTGTATCTTGTTTTTTTTAAGTAAAGGAGGCATAGCTCGTGCCACCTTCTCTTCTAGTGTCAAACCGGGAGGAGGGAGGGGTTGGAAATCCATGCAGGAACTCGTTCTTCCAAATTTCTCATGGCTGGCCTCTTCGTCTTCCTCCCTTTCTTCAAATGGTAAGAGGCGATTGTGAGCAAGTTGTGCACATGCATGCTTAACAATCCCTCCTAGCCTCTGCGTGTGTCGAAGGAGCTCCTCCGATTCTCGTAGAAGGGTTGAGTAGAAAGGGTCGACAATTGGGAGGTCCATGCTAGAGCACCCTTCGTTGGTGCCCCGGGAAAATCGCTCCACCATGAGCTCCAATTTGCTCTTTGGCTCCGTTTGTGGAGTGGCGTATGGTCTTCAGGTTTGTCCCACAAAAGCCTCCATGGCCAACTCCAACATGAATTTCACCTCGAGTTGTGGAGGGAAACCCTCTTGATATGGGGAAGCTTCTTCGTATCCCCATGAGCATGGTTGCTCTTCTTGGAAGTGAGGTTGGTAGTAGAACCTGGATCCTTGACTTTCCCCATTTTGATCGTCCAATGAAGTTCTGGGGTAACCACTCTCGGGTGGTGGTGGATACCCGCACACTTGGGTGAAATCATAAAGATCCATGATCCAATACCTACAAACACAGAAACACTAAAAAGTAAAATCAAACACACACAAACCACCCTTCAAGAGGAAGAGTGGGTCAGAAGATTTTACAAACAGGTAATGTTGTCTTAATATGGCCACGGTCAGTTTTAAGTGTTTGGTATGACTGGTTTCATCAAGACTATACACTAAGATGTCATAAAAAGACAAGGATGAACTTTCTGAGGTAAGGAGCAAAGATGGTGTTAATCCAGGCTTGCGATGTGGCTGGGGCATTAGTAAGACCAAATGACATTACTAAGAATCGAAATGACCATGATGAGTCCTGAATGCAGTCTTGTGTTGGTCTGTTGGACAAATCTTGATTAGGTGATATCCTGACGGTAGTCCAACTCCACTTTGGTAAAGAGCTTGGAAGCTCTCAACTCATCTAGTAAATCATCAATCACTGGAATAAGGAATTATCTTGGATGTTTAAGATATTTAGTTGCCTATAATCTAAACAGAAACGATGAGTTTCATCTTTTTTAGCTACTAATAACACTGGAGAGGAAAATGAACTTTTCTGTTATGTATCAGTTTAGATGCTAGCATTTCATCTGTCATTTTCTCTACTATGTCTTTCCGTGGTAAGGGATATCGATAGGGATGTAGGTTAACTGGTTGAGAGTGTGGTCACATCCTCACATGGTCTAGAGGGAGGTAAAGTTTTTGGTTTGCCAAATACATTTGAATACTTGGTAACAAGCAACAGAAAATGAGGTATCCCACCTGGAGCTTTGACTTCGGTGATGTTGAGTAAGTGGACAGTCCACCCTTGCATCATCTTTTTGAACATCTTTTGTAACCCATTCCCTAAAAGAGCCTTACAACTTTCCAACTCCTACTCTCCACACAATACTACTTTCTGTCCTGCCAACTCAAAAACAGCTGCAAATTGACAAAATCAAACTTCACAAGACTTATAATCCTTAGCCAATCTGATCCCAATACCATATTATGACTCCCAAGATTCAAAATCCTGTGTCGTCATCTAATTTTACCCTCAAAGGAAGAGCTGGTACTATTGTGCACTTGATTTCCTCTCCCCTTTCTTGATTAAAAAGCATGTGAGTGCTCCAATGTCCACCAAAATCGTCAACATGTGCTTCCTAACCTTTCCTTTGACTATCAATGAGTTAGTCACTCCAGCATTGTTGAGAGCCTATACAGTCAGCTCCTTTAGTTCATGTGACATGCATGTCTACTCCACTAAACCCTCATCTTCATCACTCAAAAGGCTCAAGAGCCAGTATATCATCATCATCGGCCTGAAGTGCATTCAATTGTTTCTTAGCAGCCTCACACTCATGGCCATAAGAGTACTAATCACCACATTTGTAGCAAGCCCCCTTAGTCATAATTCCCTTACTGGTAGAAGGACCAGAATAAGGTTTGGAGGGTTTAAGAGCTTCACCTCGTTTCAGTGGAGGAGTAAACCACCAGAACTGCTGGTAAATGGTTGTGATTGTTGTCTCATCTTCTTCCTACGAGCTTCATTCAGAGCTTCCTCCAATCGAGCCAATTGAAACACATGGTTTATAGTCTGAGGTTGCATCATAGTGACTACTGGCCTCAATTCTCCCTATAACCCACTAATGAACTTGATATAAAGTAATCTTCAGTCAGGGCAGGGTTGTATGAAATTATAAAAGAATGGAGTTCATTAAATTTCTCTTGATACTCCACCAAAGTGCCTCTCTATCGGAGCTTATTGAACTCCCCAATCAACCAACCCATGGTGAAATCCCAAATCTCCCACAGAGACTTGCAACGAATTCTTACCACACCTTTTCACATCTTCCTACACACCAACCATTGAACCATATACCTTTGCTACGATCCATATAAACTGCTGCTACCTCAACCTTCTAGGGATCCTCAATTTGATACAAATGGAAGAGTTTTTCGTACTTCTATGTCCATTCTCACGAATTCTCACCCTTGAACGAAAGAAAATCCAACGAAGGTTGCTGGCATTGAAAGTTACCTCATTGAGCGAGAAGAATTTCCTCGTCTTCCACACAAACTTATGGCATGCGGGGTTGAATTAGATGATTAGCTTCGAGAATCTCGACACGTCCTAGAGGCAAAGGAAGGATGTTGCATTCTGCAATGCATACCGCCACTTGGAGACAGAGCTCCGGCACCGCCGCCTACAATCCTTGATGCAATTCCATCATCAACTTGATGAATCTGTTGTGCAATAGCCCGAGTTTATCCGCAAACCCATCCAAAGGAGCTTCCATAAAACTCGACTGAGTAATGATCGCGTGAGATGCTATGAATGTGACACTCCAAAACACAACACCTAACAATGGCCAAGTGTAACCAATGAAAGGGACTGCAGTATAGTGGCACAAGTAATAAATATCGAATCCACGGGTCTCTAGAGTTACTATTACTCAGCTTCAGTTCATTATCTAGCAAACTAGATTAAGGATTGGTTAACTAAACTACTCTACTAACTAAACTAAGTAAAACTACTAATTACAGTTTGGGAACTCACTTAGGTATGATTCCCCCTAGCTCCTCAATTAGGTCCAAGTTGTAATTCCTTTTGGTTGATTTACTGTTGATTAAACTGCGGAAGATCCGACAGTAGCTTGGAATCTCTTAAGCTGACCAAGCCCTCTCAGTCTAACTATCCGGCAGACGACTAGTCTTCACCGGGATAGAAAGCTGAAGCAATAATCACAGAACTCCACTACTGGAATTGGATTCCAGTACAAAGCAGTAAACTGACTAACTCTCGTATAGCCAATCTCCTACTACCGAATGATGAGACTCTAGCAACCTAATCAGATTCTATCTATCTCAGATTGCAGCAGGAATCAGGAAAAGTTGATCAGACTTCAATTGACTCAATAAACATGCATCATTCGATTATAATCAAACAATATAGCATCCAAAACTTCATACAAGAAAGATCCTAACTCATGGAACTAAGGTTCCTCAAAACCTAAGTGAAGGGAAGTTACTCCATAGAGAAGAGAGAGACTGCAGAAATCTGATCTAGATCTTCAATCTCCATCTCCAAGCTTGATTCCCGAGCTCCAATGGCGAAGAAATCCTCCAAAATAGCTCCAAGAATGTTCCCAAGTCGCTCTCTCTCTCTAGGGTTCGTCCCTTGGGTGTTTGGGATCCAAAACCCAGCTCTCTCCTTTCCTTTGGCTGAAAATCGGGTTTTAACCAGCAATTCCCGACTCACACGGGCAGGCCGCACGGCCGTGCAGCTCACCCAGTTGCCCGTGCGAGTCAAAACGCAGCGTATCGATTAGTTGAATTTCAGGCTTCTTACACGGCCAGGGTCGCACGGCCGTGCAGCTCATCTTGCACGGCCGTGCAGATTACCTTGCCCGACCGTGCAGCTCATCTTGCACGGCCGTGCAGATTCTCTGCTCTGCCCGTGTTTGCTCTCGCACAATCCCACACGGCCAAACTGGTCCCTTGCACGGCCGTGCGGGTTGTGGGTGTGCCCGTGTGACTTCCTTTGTGACTTGCCTCGCGCCCGATCTTCGCCCAATCGACCCCGAACTCGCTCCTAAACCTTCATTCACTTGCCAGGACCTGAAATATCACAAACAAGCACAACCTAGCGTGAAATCGGTCTAAAACACGAGAAACCACATCTCAAACGGTGTAAGAACAGGGGTGAAAACATGTGTAATTAACGGTCTATCAGAATGACAGTAGGCTCGTGTCGTCAGGCAGCTGAGCTCAATGAGTTGCACGTCGAATGCCGCCAAACGATCCTCCAAGGTCGACGTGTGACTCGTAAGACCATTGAGGCGCTCCTCCATTGTCTTTATTCTCGTGTTAGTTTTCATGCCGAGTAGGACTCTGATGTCACTTTGTCACTACCTGGTCTAGCTCAATGAAGAAGAAGGAAAGAAACAAAGAATAGAGAGAGAGAGAGAGAGAGAGAGAGAGAGATTAAGAAAGAATTGGGAGGGAAAGTTTGTTATGTTTTTTCATTACTACCTCTAACGGACTCCAAACGATCCTTTATGTAAGCCTCTCTACACTTGCCAGCTAGCACTCGCAAACCACACATAATTTTGGCTATCTACGCAATCAATCCTTATTCTATACATTCTAGTCTTGTTTGTGACAGTTACACGGCAGAGGACACGCTGGTGACTGTGGTGGGGTTGACGGATTTCTTGGTGGGGCTTCCGCTTTTAGAGGAGCTTGTTCTAGAAGTTTGCAAAAAAACATTAGGAGCATCTCCACGACTCTGCAAACTCTGAAATTGAAATGCCCAAAATTGAAAGTGTTCAACTTAGGGCATTTCGATGAAGTTTGTCTGGCGATTGACTTGCAGCTCGATGGGATTGCCTAGTGCTAAGGGCTGCAATCGTTGTTGATCAAGAATTCAGCTGATTTAATAGAGGTTGCAGCAAGCTTTTGAAATTTGAGGTTGAGAGTTGCAACATTACAGTGAGGGTATGAGGACGATGGCCTGTTTGCTGCAAAAGAAGCTTGTCGATGTCAAGATCTCCGCTCGTAGGAATCTCAATGTTGTTTCTTTAGTGCATGCTCTGGAGCCTTTCTGCCACCGAATCGAGATCTTGCACATAGACTGTGTGTGGGATGGGCTGGAGAAGGAAGAGTATGGTAGTTCCGACGGTTTTGATTTGAACAAGGGTCTCTATGATGAGGATAGTTACGGGAGCGAGAAGAAGAAATGCAAGTACTCTTCTTTAGAGTCGTCCTCCTAATATTTTTTTTATATAAAAGCCTTAGTTCTAGGTTTACTATTCACTAAGTGGTAAAATTGTAAATATCTTCAACTTTTGTGGCATTCCTTCAACATGTCAAATATTTTGAATCATTTTCTTTTTTATTTGTTTATTTTTCATCTTCCATTTTTCTTACAAGATGACACATATTTTGTACGTATCCTTTCTGTTTCATTTGCTTTGGTCACATATGAGAATCTCTAGTTGGTCCATTTTTTTTAATTTTATCCTTTTGTTTTTTTTTTGGTAGAAATCCTTTTGTTTTCCTATGCTAGAATTATCATCTTTGTTCGTATTTGGTTTTGCATTGTTAAACATATCTCTCGCTGGAGTTCGAATAGAAAAGCAACGGAGAAATCTCTCACCTGATTGAAGTGGACGAAAGTGGCATATTGTTTGTATTTTATTTGCATCGTTACACATGTCTCTCGCTCGGATTCAAACAGAAAGGCAACGGGAAAATCTCTCCCCCGATTGAAAAGGACGAAAGTGGCACTAAAAATGATGGACCATATGTTATGTTGTTGCAACTTTTTTCCTCTCTTCTTCGGTTGATTTTTCCTCATATTCTTTATTTTTTCTATTTTTCATCCCAAATTAGAGTACTAAGTTAATTCTAAGTTAATCCTTTTGTTTCTCGGGATGAAAAATACACATAAATCAGTTATCTCTTTGTTCTTTTATATTTCCATGTAAAAATTTCATAAATTTCTAATTTATAGTTGTGAACCTCCAATTGAACAGGTTCTTTATCAATAGTAGGTAGATCGTTCTCCTCTGACCTATAACATCGCTGGCCAACTAGTGAAAATTGCAACGGAGTTCTCCCACAATATTTTCGTGATTTTTCTTGTTGGTTTTGTAGTTATGTCTTACGAGTTACATTTTGTTAATTATTTCAAGTGGGCTTATCTAGTTTACTGGGAATGGGTTCCGCAGCAACAGAAGAACATGGGAGAGGCTCAAGTACATTCCTTCATGGATTGCTGTTGGCGAGCTCTTGACGCCATTGCCTAGGGCTGGTCTTGAGGATTGTCCTAAATTGGAGGAGATTAGAATAAAGGTTGAAGGAGACTACAGAAAGAGACCGAAAATGAAATGAGTGGATGTGCAGCTGAGGGAAGACTATTATCCGGCACCAGAAAATGAAATGAGTGCCGAGATGAGAGTGGATTCCTGCAGTCGGTTTGAGGATGCGCCGAATGGAAGAGACATAATCCCTGACCGATTGTGAAATGTACTGGTGCTCATAGTGAAGTGAACTGTTTGGGCGTTCAAATGAATTCGTTATCGTGGTAACCATATTAACCGATAGTATTTGGTTAACTTGGTTTGATTAATTTGGATAATTGGTTTGGTTTGGTTTGGTTAAACAATTTAGCTTATTTGGTTTAGGTGGTTTGGTTTGGTTTCAACACTTCTAACCAATGAAACAAATTAACCAATTAATGATACACTTAATATACAAAATTATTTATACTTCCAAGCAACCAACCAAACCAAACTTTCGTGGATCTCTATTTTATTTCCATGTGCACAACAAACCAAAGCATTATGGGTCAAAAATTAAATGGGTTTGCCTATTTACTAAAACAAAACATTTTGGACAGCTACTAGACTTTAGGAATACGTACAATACCATGACAGCCACCTCAAACTATGTATAGTTTAAATGTTTTGTAGGAGAGCTTTAACTTCCTGATGAGTGGTATTGGTATGTATTTAATATTTACGTTAAGGGTTTGTTGTAAGCTAACTATATTAGGTGCAGAGATGATGAATGATGTATTAACTCGAATGATTATGATAATCATGGATGGTTAGTCTTATTATTGTTGCTCATATATAATGATAGGGTTAATTGCACGGTTGGTCACTGAGATTACAAAAAGCGTTCATGTTTGGTCACTCGAAATATTCAAATCCATTTGTGGTCCCTAGCTTTACAAAAACCGTTCATTTATGGTCACTCTCTGTTAGCTGTCGTACAACGTCGTTAAAGGCGTCCATTAAGTGATGACGTGGCTGACGGATTCGCCTAATCAGCACTTTTTAACCCGAAATTTGACTGACCCGACCCGCCACGTCATTTAAACCCACCATGTCATTGTCAGCTAAACCTAACCAAACCTCTAACCAAACCAAACTAGACCCGACATGACCCAACCCACCAACCCATCTATCTTATTTATGTCGCTTTCTGACCACAAGAATCCTATCATCCTCCCAAAACCTTCACATCTCTATTTTCTTCTCATCCCCTTCTCCTCTGCTAATGGCGACACCTTTCTGTCGTTTTGGATTGGCATCAGATCTCAAGACGAGTTGGACAGAGGCGAATCCAGGGAGGAGGTTCTACGGGTGCAGCAAGTCCCCGTTTGAATCCAATCCCCTCCTCTGTTTCAACTCCATCCCCTGTTTCCCCCACCCCCCCCCCCCCCTTTCCATTAGCTTCTTCCATCACCAGCCATGGAAGCTCTCCAAGGTCACAACAATTACAATCACACATTCCCCACCGATTTAATCGAAATCGGGACCTCCCTCTCCCATCTCATACTAATGGGTGGCGCGGGTTCCAACACTCTCGATTTCGTCTTCTCCTTCTGCAGCCACAACACATCACCGCCGGCGGCGGCCAAAATAGAGCCTCTCGGTTCCTCCGTCTACCTCCACCAGCGAGACCTCCTCCGAAAATTCAGCGAGCAGAACAGACCCACCACTGATTCATCTTTCGGCTCTAATTACTCGCTCCAGAGATTCTCTCCATTGCATAGGAGTTGCCCGACGTTCGCTCCGGCGACGGCGAAGAAGCTGTACAGAGGAGTGAGGCAGAGGCACTGGGGGAAATGGGTAGTAGAGATTCGGCTCGCGCTGAACAGGATGCGAGTCTGGCTCGGCACGTACGAGACCCCTAAAGCCGCCGCCTACGCTTACGATCGCGCCGCCTACAAGCTCAGAGTTGGAGAGGAAGAAAACAGGAGGGAGGAAGGCGGCGTGGGATGGAGGCGGATTGATTTGTCTTCGATTAGGGTTTTAGTCAAAGGTGGGTAGATTAGTTGGTGGGTAGGGTCAGGTCTATTTTAGTTAGCGGGTCTGGTTTGGTTAGAGGTTTAGTTAGGTTTAGCTGACATGGTGGGTTTAAATGACGTGGCGGGTCAGGTTAGTCAATTTTCGGGTAAAAAAGTGTTGATTAGGCGAATCCGTCAGCCACATCATCACTTAACGGACGCCATTAACGGCGTTGGACGGCAGCTAACGGAGAGTGACCATAAATGAACGGTTTTTGTAAAGTTAGGGACCACAAATGGATTTAAATATTTCGAGTGACCAAACATGAATGCTTTTTGTAATCTCAGTGACCAACCATGCAATTAACCCTATAATGATAGTTTATGATAGTAACAACATATGGTTATATTTTATTCACTAACATGATAATTGTTTTCAAGTAATGTTATGTTATTTGGTTAATTCGATTATCCAATTAACCAAACCAATTAAACTTTGATTTGGTTAATTTGGTTTTCGTGTTAATTTGGACGGTTTGGTTAAGACATTTTATTCCATGGTGGTTAATGAAATTTAGGCTTAATTGATTTGGTTATTACAACGGTACCCATTTGAACACCCTAGAACTGAACCCATCACCAATTCACTTGTTCTCTGCAGTAAAAGTTGTTCCAATTGGATTCCATCAGAGTGAACTTTTGTGCTGTGACATTTCTGGGGATGCTCTGCTGCCTTGTTTGTAATAATCAGTTGGGTACATTGTATCAAGAATAAGAGCAAACTTTCTCATTTTGTGTTTGACGAGATAGGGAGAAATGAATGAGAGCCGATTCTTTCTTTTTTTTACAGTAAATGAGAGCCGATTCAGCGTTGTAATTTCTACTGCATATCATGCAAAAATTGGAATACTTCATTCTGGGACGACATGGAATGGAAGTGCTTCGGAAAACAAAGAACGAAAACGTTTACAATCTTGAGCTGCCGAGGGAGAACAATATCGACACTCTACCATGTTAAACTTTGCCCTGCTTTCTTTTTGGGTTTTCTTCAGCTGTACACAAGAAAAAGGAGTCTGCCTTTTCCTATTGATGGGTATCATCAGCAAAGGGAATACTCGCAATCAAGCAACCGAGACAGGATTTCCTCACAGCTAGGTCGCTCATGCGCTTCAGCCCAGCAGTCTTCAATCCAGACATAAATGGAGTAGTTAATTCAACTTTGGTTTCAACTGAATTTTTGCAAACTTCAATTTATGGATTTAGTTATACCTGAAATTAGCCTTCCCAGCGGACCCTCCGGAATCTCCAATCTGGATCCTTCATTAGCAACAGCATAAACAACCTGAGAGCCAAAAAGAACAGATAGCCAAATCAGACACCAGCATCCTACTTTTTCTCCTGTAGACAGCGTATGGACCAATCAACCCTCCCCGGAATAAAAAAAAAAAGGGAAAAAAATTGGTCCTGTGGAGGGCGAATAGTACATACTCTTTCAGGTGGTATTCCTCCCCACGGTCTATTGAGAGTGCAGAGTTCCCACATTATGACTCCTAGGCTGAAAATGTCACATTTCTCAGTGAAAGATTCACCGCGGATGAGTTCAGGAGCCATCCATTCAGGAGTTCCTGCTGACGATGAGTCTGTTACCAGCTTGGTCACCATGATTCTTGAGAGCCCGAAATCGCAGATCTTAACAGTCCAATGCTTGTTCACGAGACAGTTTGCGCTCTTGAGATCGCGATGAACTATCTTCATCCGATGTATACACATCAAACCCCTGTATCAATGATAAAAACATATGAGCCCATGAGTGCGCATCTCTGGATACGAAGCTACTATGATGCACAAGTCATTCAGATATAGAAATCATTCTCCTTCACTTTTGTGAGGCAAAAAAGATTGTCAACCAGCAGAAAGTCTTGCAGTGATATAGAACATAAGTGATGGGAGATTCAAAGGAAGCCAATTGCGAATTCCGATTTGATAAATAAGTGACCACCATAATAGGCATTAGTATCAGAATTCTTAACTTTTTGAAGTGAACAAATAGCTTCAGCATTTCACTTCAAAATAGAAACAAATGTAAGTTCATATGCAGATTGTCGCCACTGTGACTGGATAAAACAGCTTTCGTCAAAAAACCCAAAAACAGAGACCGCTTAAAGTAACTTACATTGGGGTCTTGGCATTTAGAAGCCAACATTTAGTTGAAGGATAAGATAAGTGAAACTGCAGGTCAATTGACAACATATAACTCTGAAGCACAAAAACGTTGGTACCGTTATTGTTTATCTTTTAAATATTGTTGACACAACAGCTTCTTTGTTTTCCTCTTCCGGTTGAATTTGCCAAATCTCCATTACGAGTTGTAACACAAAAGGTTGAACCTAGTGGTGTTCAGCTTTCCAAGAAGCTCAGAATCAATAAAGAGTAACGCGAATGTAACCGACTTAGGAACCTCTCGGAGTTGCTATTTATAAGTGTTAGGCAGCTGACTGGGTAGAATTTCACTCACGGCCAATTGCTTAGCCTCTTTATTCTCCTCGTGACATTTTGCACTACAACATTACATTTGTCGTTCATGAGATATCATATAAACTAATGACATACTAATCCTGTTGAAACATCTGTATAGGTTTTTATGTTAAAACAATATACTGTGTAGGTATTTACTGACATGTTTCCGCACACGGAAATGAAGCTCTGATCATTTCATCGTATCTGTTAGATCATAAAACTTTCCGAAATGCAGTCCTCAAACCATGAAATTTGTTTCTCCTAACCTTCTCCATTATGCCATTTCCACCTCGTCAACCCTAGTTAAATAAAACCTTATGAAACAATCTACATTCTGCTTCTCCTAAAACTAATATTAGATCTAACATTTTACAACACAATCCACACAGCCAATGGAAAAAAAGGAACGGTCGCAGATTGAACACATCCTATCAAAAAGGTCTTATACTCCCACGTTATTGACGTTCTGTGCTTGTGTAACAGTTCATACAATCAACTATAAGCCATAAGTTACAAACTAGAAGGTTAACAAAGCAGGGCCAAAGCTAACCAGATCAATCACACATCTAAGCCTCCCAATCCTGGATATATAGAAATAAGTACAGCAGCAGTTTTAAGCATATGTGTAAGACAGAAGTTCAAGTGGATGGTGAGGCAAGCAGAAACTATGGTTTTCCATTTCCATATCCATGAGTCATCAATCAAAAACCCGCAAACAGATGTATGATAGAACAAGATGCAGAATTGAAGTGCTTTCGATGATAATAGGAATTGGCTGAAAAGGCAGCTTAGCAAAAGAGCAACTGAATGATGAGATGACAAACCTGCAGATATCACGTAGCATTTTAAGCCGCCTCCGCCAACTAAGCTTCTTCTTCTGACCACTTAAATGAATTAGGTAATACAAGGATCCCATTTCCATGTACTCGGTGAGCATTGACAATCGGGGAGGCTTTGTGCAAGCACCTAAAAACAATATAACTGCAAGAACAGTACAACATTTGTTGACTAATGAATGTGCAGTAAACATAAATCAGAGAAGGATATCAGCAAAAACGTCTACAACGTTTGGATGTGAGTGCCTACAAATGAAAGATGGATAAGACTTTCCAGTGAAACCACCATCAGAAAATGCAGTTTTGACATGTATATCTGTAGATTCGTACTATCATATACTCTTTGCCTCCCTAAGAGCTACCAAAGGACTTTATATCAGAAGTACTGGGTACAGAGGAATACCATTAGGATGGCGAAGGCGACTGGAAGATAATCGATGCAGGGACAACAAAAGACAATTAAATTAGTGAAATATATTGGCAGCCTTAACTTGAAAACAAAAGGATTGGCAGATCAACAGGAAAATACCTAAGAATGGATATTTCATTGCAAAAGTCTTCCATGTTTTCAGCTGTTAGATCTTGCTCTAAGAAAACTTTGATAGCAACATCTGTCCCATTCCATACGCCTCGGAAAACTTCACCAAAAAACCCTAGCATAGAGATTGTTCACGAAAATTCAAGTTAATATTTCACATGCAGTACATTTGCATATATGACATCAACTCAATAAACAAAAAAGCTGCAATATATAAGATGAGCTGATTCCAAAGCATTTACATAACAAACAAGTCAACTCATTACCACAGCAATATCACTATTCCCCCTCCATGTCAGCTTCCAATAAATAGGCATAGTTAACCGTTTATCTCAAATAAAAGGAGTCTGATGTTCCCAACACCAATGCACCTTTTCTCCATATAACAAGTGTGAATTTATAGTGGCATCTCAAACCCAAACCAATTCATTGATTGCAACCACGATTGTAACAGGATAGTGCAGCATTATAGAATCTGACATGAGAACAACAAAATTACATGAAGACCAAGCTTAAACATGGTATTCAAATGCTTACCAATCCCGACACGAGTTCCAACAGTTATTTCTGAGAAATCAATATTCCATTCATCATAAGGTAACAGAGGCTTATTCTGGAACATGGGTGACTCAAGGACTTTATTCCACGTTGTGACCAATTCATCTTTCGCGGAGTAGCCTGAAGGTTTAACTCTATCCACTGTTTGGCTACTATATCCATGCGGAGAAGATGGTAGTGACATTGCCTTCTGAGAATTTTTGTAGTCCACCTGAAGAGCACATAAGCTAGGCCTTCTGTTAAATATATCATTGCGACCACCAGGATCAAATTTGATAGCTGAAACAGAGCATAATGTAACCGATTATGATAAATGAAGGCAAACCATCATAAAGAGCAGTTACAGCACAAAGCTTACACACATCTGGTCAATACTAAAAAGAAAAGGCTTTCACTGTTCAAGCATGTAATCCCAATGTAGATCCAAAAACAAGAACAGCCAAACTAGGTGAAGAATATGCTAAGCTTGCTGAAATTTGACTCTACTCCAGCACAAAAGCTTAACAACCAGCTGACTACTTCCTATATAAACAAAACCCTGTTTATTTATTACTCAATCAGAACATCTTGTGGCCACTTTCAGCAACATTTGAACGCTGGATTCCCTGTGTACAATCTCTCTTATCTCTTGACTTTCTGCTTCACCAAATTAAGTTGTAGTGTACTACTGCAGCTATGTTTGAACCAACCATGAAGATCAAATAACAATGTCATCAAGCCTTCCAATACCACTAAGGGTTGTGGTGGAAATAAATTCCAAGCTAGGATTTGTTTCTTTTGCCAATTCTTAGCTAGGATGTTAATCATCGTAAAGACCCATTACCATCTTCCAGCAAAATTTGGACACCCATTTCCGGATGACAAGTTCTTCATCTCAGCAGACTTCTTTCTAACAGAAAGTTTTTGTTTCAATTTGAAACCTAAACTGAGCAAATCGTGAAGAAAGAAAAAGAATAAAACATCCACACAATGTCATGTCAAGGGCTGAAATAAGATGGATATTGTGGCAAAAGAAAGTGGACAGTGAATTATGCCTATGAAAAGTGAAGTAAAAACACGTAAATTATGAACAGAATACAGTAACAGGAAGACAAGTCTCCAATGGTCAAAACAACCATACATTTTTCTGAAGATCTGAGCTGTTATCCTTCTCGTCTGAATTAACTGTAGAGGATGTACCATCTCCTCGCTCCCGGATTAGACGGTTCTGCTTCAAAGTTTCATTCATGGCCCGCACAGCCCTGAAAATATTCACAGTATACGTGAATTAGGCAGGTTGTCGCATGAGAAAATTACATATTTTAGTGTTATTCAAATCCACAGAGGTTTTGGAAAAAATAAGTTCAATGCTTCAGCTCAAGAATACTTGAGATGCACTTGTTTGAAATGTGAAATAAGTTGTCCCTCTACCCTAAATTCAGATCCATGCATTGCTCCTTAGAGCGTCATCAGCCTTAAGAGTTAAAGTTTGCACCAATCCATCTGTCAACGACCAACCCAACATATTTTTTATGCTCTTAATTAATCCAAGCCATGAACTGATCGTAACTTCTCAGTGAACTTAACATTGTATAAGCCCATCTAGATGTATGTATCTGAAAGCCGCTAATTAGTGGTCATCATGTACGTCTACTTTACTTTTATACTGAAGATATGCAAAAGAGCATGCCAATGTGAATAAAAGTATTTTTTTTCCCTTTCGGAAAAAGAGAAAATAAGGACATGCCAATGCTTCGTCTTCTTAATCAAACTCGAACACAAATGTAAACCAAAACAATGACGGAAAGTATACAAACCTCACAATATCATCACCAATCTCTGGGGTCATGCTAATGCTTCGTCTTCTTAATCTACGAGTCTCCAATGATGTTGATGCTCCTTCTGACTTGTAGCTAATGCCATTGATGAAAATTAGAACGATTCAGGGAGGACAACACAATCATCCTTACATATCTAGCAATTTCCAGTAGAAGCTCCAAAAAAATGAGATCTGACACCTTGTGACATTTGAGTTGCAAGTCCAATCAGTTATTTTGTTTCAAATTGCAATGCTTGATACTACTTTCTTATCAGTCATCACATATCTATCTCAGCATCTAATGACCAAAGATAGAAACCAGCAAAGATGTCTCAGGTAAAACACAGGAGTACTGAGTTTCCTTCTAAAAATGAGAAGCATAGGCCTTACAAGACTAATGCACACCTAATTAACGAATAGGGCTAACCTGCTAAATGTCCTATTCATAATCATGGTGCTTAAAGCACCCCCTTGCCAAAAGAAAATTATTAACTTTCTATGTATCTCTTGAAGTTTCAATTCTCAATTAAGCTACAAAAGAATTTACAAGAGCCTTCATAAATTTTTTTAATAGTCAATCTATCAAGAGCTGAAGAGCAAAATTGATATATAGGTTTATCTGATTTAAATGATTTTACAGTTCAAAGTTTGACACTGAACATCAAATTACTTTAGCCAAATAGATTAAAACATTCAACTATTGTTCATCAAATAATCAGTACATGCAATTTGAAATGGTTATAAATTTGGGGAATCTCGTTAATTTCCATCTCTTGGATTCTCAAATTACTATGAACAAAATAGAAATGCAGCAGAAATGCTACTGAACAAAACAGCACTAGAAAGTATCAAGAAGTTGTAATAGCATCTTTCAAAACCAACCCAAGAAACTAGAGTCAAAAAATAGTGCTCATGTATTCATTATAGGAACAAAGAGAACAAACCTTGAGGTAGCTACATCCTCAGGATAATCTCTAATTGAATGCCTATCACCACTTAGCATAGACCTTCCACGTACCCGTAATGAAGGATGCTCTGGACTGCAAAACGATGCTTGATCAAAGGCATAAAGATTTAATATTTGCATCGAGAATCGATGTCCATGTTTTACTACAGAAATAAACTATAATTCACACAAAGTGATTAAGTGACAACAAGATAGTTTGAATAACCCTCGCTGAAGAAAAGATAATACAAAAATTACCAGATCTGCATAGCCTTACCAAAGGCTCCTCTTTGTTTTACATGGTTTATATTCAAAATCTAACTCACAGCGAAACACATCCTCCTACATCTTTTTATAAAATCCTGGTTTAAATTGATGTGGACCTAAATTCGCTTTCTACAATTTAAATTTTACACATTTCTTCTCTGAAAAATTCTGAAGCCTCTGTGAACTTTCAGTTGCACACATATTTGAACTTTCAGTTGCACTCAAATGGTCAAACAATAGGGGATCAATTAGTAATTCACTTATTTTAATTTGAACTTTCATTTACACTAAAAAGGTCAAACAATAGGGGATCAATTAATAATTTACAAATAGTGACTTATTTTAATCATGTTCAAATACAAATAGTCAACGATTACTTCACAACTACTTCAGTCAAACATACTTCTCCAACTAGCTCTAGCAGACAACTCCTACGTCTCCTACTATAAATGTAGAATCGATAAATGAAAGAAGAAGAAGAAAAAACAGTATGAAATACACAAAAATCAAGCAATGTGGGAAGTAAGCAAACTGCAAGCTAAGAATGGCATTTGAAAAATGACAGAATATAAATAGTGATAATATTTTAGCTGGAAATCACAGGATGATAAGAGTATCATTCACGCTAACTATGATGGAAAGCACATTATTTTCCAAGAACACCAAAAAATGAAATGTACTATAAGAAGCAAGTCTGTCATGTCTAAATCAAATTGACATTGACTTTCAGTCAAACCGATCAAAAACATCAATTCACTTTCAAAAACGTTGACAGCAGAAATAAGGGTCAAAAGAAAAGAAACCTTGAACTAGCAGTCCGCTGTTCAGCTATCACCTTTTTCCGGCTACGCCGCCAAAATGCTGTAGCGACATTGGGTTCACTATGTGATAAACTGAGGCAAAATGGGGAGAAAAAATGACAGGATACAGTTCAATCACAAAAACTTGAAATATTTGTGTTTGGCAGGCAATAACAAACACATAGCAAGAGTTCTAACCAAAAGAAAAAGATAAAGGGAAAAAGACAAAAAGCATCCAATATGAAGTTCATCTATGATGCGGAGAAAAATAAGGAGAAGAAGAAAATGCTTGCCTAAGTTTTGTATCCAGGTATGAGCTAGATCGCAACATCTTGTTCCGCAATACAGGGCCTGATGCATTTGAAGATCCCTCTAATTTCCTATGGAACTGATGACCCTCATCTTTTTCAGCACTGCAACAATGAAACAAAAATCAAAACTACTTAACCAACTTTGATGACCGATTCATATATAGCTTGTGAATGTCATGTTTCAAGGTTAAACTGGAATTCAAGAATGCTAGCCTGTCAGGATCCACTTTCTCTGGGAAACCACAAAGAGGACTGTTTGGTTCAAGTGGTGAATCGCAAGAATCATTTTCAGCAGAATCACTCTCCCCAGCTGCTGAGATATGAGTCATGAAAATTGCTCTGGTAGACCGTGGGATCAACTGGCCAGGAAACCGCATAAGATCTACCAGTAGTTCCACCGAGTTCAACACAACAATGACTGACATGTGCTTATATGAGTCTACACACTCGACAGATCCGTCATTTGGTAAACCCTGGAAAAAACAATGAAGTTTAATAATTATGATGAGCTATAATTGGGGAGTTATTAGAAGTAGTTCATAAAAATAACCAGTATTACAGCTCTGGGACGCATCTGGAAAGGAGAAGACACATAAAATGAACTCAAAAGCTTACCAAGACAAGCCTACTTTCTAGACCCACAGTATCTGCCAGAACTTTGAACAAGATTGCTCGAGGACGGCACGAACCGTGTTTTATTTGCCCAAGCAATTGAACTCCTCGGTTTTCAAGCAAGTGATAATTTTCCTCTACAGATGTTCTCACAGGGCTATCAACACTAGGTCTTTTGTAAAAATCAGATACCTGAGGGACAAATCAGTAGTAGAAACAAGGGTTACTAACAAATCAAAATATATAAAGGAAATACAACATATGCAGGAAAAAGTTCCACAATTTTACAACAGAAATCAATTAGCCCGGTGTTAACATGTCAGTGCATTTCGAGTTTAAAGAATGTGCTTCCCGGTGATTTAGTAGATTTAGTGAGCAAATCTGGAACACTAGATCATAGCCAAAATTGAGATACCCAGGTTCATCACAATATGACAACATTTAGAAACGCCTCAAACAGAAGGAAAGAAAGACACTCATATATCAAAAGGAAAAAGATAATTAGACATATTTCAGCATAAGGCTTATCAGGAAATTCAGGCAGTACAAAGCTGTTTGTAAGATGTATGATCTTACCAACCCAGCAATCTTTTTTATCATGGCAGCTGGATTCGCACTCAATCCTCTCACCAGCGCAACAATCAACTGCTTCAGCATTGACAGCTTTTTATCTTTCCTAAAATCCACAACAATCACATCAGCAGTGAGAGCCTCATTTCCAAGAGCATGGAGTTCATCCAGGGTTGGAAGGCACTCAAAATGCTCTTTGAGTCTTTTATCCTGTCAAAAGTTGAGACCGCCAATAAGAACCACTAAGAACAAAGTTCTAACTACTAACAGTTTATCTGGTCATTTTGAAAGGGCAGAGAAATTTTTTCTTACACTACTGGTCAACGAGACATGAAATTTCATTAGCATAAATCATTTATTTATGAATAATGTCCGGAACCATCTCCTAAACAGTAATCAACAAAAGGTCAAAACAGGGAACATAAGCAACATCAGCCAGTATCATACTTTCAAGCTGAGTACCTCCAATCCAAAAAAAAAAACAATTTCGCCCCATTTGGCTGAGCAACAAACCACCAGAAAAAATAAGTACCCAACTCTCAAATTGATCAAAAGGAAAACATGACAGTTCTAAATTACAAATGTGCATAATTGCCAACTGCCTACAAAGACTTTTTCCCCCTTTTCTCTGGATCAAGGCAAGGAGAGTAAAACTGAATTATCATCCATAGAGCTTCACAAGATGTTATATACATTCATAATTACACAAAAAACTATCCCTAGCCCATACACTTCCAGTATGCTTAAAAACGACATAGCTATTACCTCTTAGTTAAGGAACCTCTTCACTACCCGTAAAAAGAACCATAAACATGCCACTAAAATAAAGGGACAAATTTTTAAGCTTGCCCTTTTTCATATTAAGGATTGAGCACATACTTGGTTAAGATTGACAAGGAAAGCAAAATCAAGAAATTGAACTGTTAAATCTGTGTTCCCAGGCATTTTATGACAAGGCTTTCTTTCTATGATAGAAGTCAGATGACAATCAACACAAGAGATGACCTTCCAAAATCACGAAGAGTGTTCATATGGAAATCGTATTCTTTATTTCTAGCAGCACAGTCAGACTGCAACATGATATCACCAGTAAAATTGTTCTAAGGAAAGAGTCTCACCGGTGTGACAGAGTAGAAGCCATTTGGAATTGGTTCTGAAAGCATTCCAGTTCTCCAGAGAACTTGTGATGCAGTTTGAGAAGACAAGTCATCTTCTTCATAATTTCTAGGTGATTCTTTATTACTCAGAGTATCTTCTTGAGAATGCAACGAAACAGAGTCAAACTTCTCAATAAAATCTGAGCCCCACCATGCTGCATTAGAAGGCCTCTGCTCTGCTGGCACCGCTTCATCTCGAGACTCCTCCATCTTTCTAAATATTTGGGATGTAAAACCATTTCGACTCCACTCCTCACCCCATAAAAGATTTGTTCAACATGGCAATAGTTGTGGGACAACTTTACGCCTTACAACAAACCTCTCCATTTCCATTGTGACAGAACCAGACACCATTTGAATAGTGAAACCCTATAAAAACAGAAAGGTGAATAATTGAAGAAGAAAAAATATTGGAAAAGGGCAGAACCAAAACCAAGACAGCTGAAACAGAAGTACTGTAGTTATTTATTAAGTTTAATCATGTGAAACAATGGCAAGAATATTTTCTTAACCATGCTGTCTCTTGCCCAACTCCTAACTCCTCCTTTACCTCATAGTGGAAATTTGTAAAGCGTACAGATCCATCCATAGACATTTGAAAAATCTACAGTCCTCAATTACCACCCCTTTGAATAGATACCTGTCCTGTGAATTTGCAGCTCCCAAGTCTTACCAAGCACTACATCCTAATTCCTAATACGAGTTTTATTATAAGCCAGACATTTGAACACCATGCCTAGTTACCCATAGTTGGAAAATTGTGAAAGGGTACAGATCCATCCACAGACATTCAAAAAACCTACAGTCCTAAATTACCATCTGTATGAATAGATTGCTGTGCATATGGAGCTCCCAGGTATTACCAAGACCTAAATCCTGATACAGAGTATTATTAGCTGCCAGACAACTGAACCAACCATGCCTTGTTACCCACAGTGACACAACTTAAATCAAGAAACCTAAAAAATTTCACAGCAGATTCTCAATCTACAGCTAAATGAAATGAAACTCTATGGCATCTCTGTGACTGCGTTCCAATGGGAACTGCAATCATAAATCCGACCTTACTCGGAAAGCATATCAGCACAGCACAAACAGTTCAGCCTGTCACTTAAACCATGCCACGGTCAAACAGTGCTCCAATATAAATTTCCTCCAATCCATAACTAATACATTATTTAAGCAATCTCCAGCAACAGCAATACCAAATCAACCACTGCTTGAATCAACAACAAGAAGCAAGTCGTCATTCAACAATGTGATACATGTCGGCGTCAGGGACAACCAGACAACGAGCAACACGACAACGGCAAGCTTCGAATTTGAAAGCCAAGAAACAAACGAAGAAAAGAAGGATACACAAGATCAGAGCAAATGTAGAGCAATGGAGTAAGTTACCAGCAACAGATCCAAAGTCCATCGTGTTCCCAGGGCTCCCTCTCCCACCAATCGCGCTTCAATCTCAAGACTCTCTCTTGGATAAATCGGTGTTATCTCACATACAGCCTATGCCTTACCAGCGCTCCGGCCGCCTCTAGAGAGTGAAAGTGAGTATGGGAGAACGATTGGAGTCGGAAGGAGAAGAAGTTATCAGAGAAACATAACAGCAGCAGCACAATCTCCCTTTAGCTGCTTCTATTTTCGGCTTCTTTTACCAATCGGACTACAGTGAAGAAGAGAGAACGGTCGCGATGGCGGAGATTCGAACGAGGGATGTCGAAAGCGTAAAAACTAAAAAGGCTAATACCATTACAACACCCCGAATTATGACTAAAATGTCATTTTGTATCCTATTCTTTTCAATATTCTATTTGTGTTCTAAACTACTATACTTTGTGACATTTATATTCTGAAGATTTTGTTGACCGTTAGATATAACGGTTGACCAGACGGTTTGGAATAGGGATGGCAACCAAACCCGAACCCACGGGTACCCACCCGACCCAACCCAGTCAACGCGGGTAAAATCCGTGTTGACGGGTTTTGGGTTGGGTTTGGGTTTAAACCCGTTCACTATTCACCGGGTTGGGTTGGGTTTGGGTTTAGGTAAACCCGACCCGTGGGTACCCGCCCACACATATAATTAATTTTCTCGGTATATTTAATATTTTAAACAACTAATCTTATTTATGTTTGTGGAGACATGTCTAATTTTTTCTTTCTAATTGTGTAGAATGAAGTTTGTGTTATCGAGTGGAGAGTGAAGAAACTTAATTGAAAGGAAGAAGCCTTCAATTAATATGTTATTTATGGATAATTTATGATTTACTTCAATTTTCTTGAGTTTTCTAGATTGCGTTGAACAATTTATATAGTTAATTTGTGATTTGCTTGAATTTTCTAGAATAGTGTTTTAAATATGGATAATTTGTATTGAGAGATTGATATTTGATTTTAATTTTGATAGGAACATGTTATTGTAAATTTTTTACGACAAAAACCCGTGGGTACCCATGAACCCGCGGATACCCAGCGGGTTGGGTTGGGTTTGAGTTTTTCAAACCCAGTGGGTTTTACCCCGGGTTTTTTTCACGGATAAACCCATGGGTTTGGGTTTGGGTTTGGGTTTGGCAAAACCCGACCCAACCCGACCCATTGCCATCCCTAGTTTGGAATATGACGTCAGATTAGGGCCGACGTGACAGACACGTTGATGCCACATCATATTTTTAATTAAAAATAATTAATATTTATAAAAATAATATCTTCTCTCTGCAACCTTTCTCCCTCTTCCTTTTCTCTCGACGGTAGAAAGTGTCGTTGACGTTGGCGGCCACAGCGGCGACGACTGATGACGCCGAAGGTGGAGACGACTGCGACGATGACAACGATCGATGAGCAGATCTAAGGAGGTACGGTTGTGATGAGATTGGCGACGACCTGGAGGATGCGCACGGTCGATGCAGAGCAAGCCAGATGGATCTAAGGGAGGAGATGAGAGGGAATTGGAATAGGAGTCTGCGACGGGAGATGGACCTAGGGTCTGTGCGATGGTGGTTGTGCGAGAGGAATCCGATTTGCGATGGTGGTCGGCACCTGATGAAAAAATCGTCCCTGCGCGCCTCCCTTTGAAGAAGCAGCCAGGCCAAATGCAGAGGAGGAAGACAAGCCCCGCCCTCTGCTTGTCGTCTCTTGGATAAATGCCCATAACACTTGCCTAGCTAACCCGATTAACCACACAAACGTACAAAATAAAACCCTCATAAACTAGCAGCGAGACTTGCAAGCTCTTTGAACCGACAGTGAAGAGGGGAGTGTAGAGACTAAAATTGCGGGGAGATGATTCGAAAATGGGTGTCTGGTGAAGAATGAAACGGACCGGGGGCAGGAGGAGACTAGTGATTTTTGAATTCGTTATCGTCGACCAAGCTCTTCTTCATTGCCTGGAAATTGGGGATCCGAACTCATGGCCAGCGGCCCCATCTGCAGCGCTGCTGCCGAAAACCCCAAATCTCAAGAGATGCAGTCGCCGGTGAGAGGGGGAAAAAGGGACACGAGTTTTTTTATTTTCATTTTTTTTATTTTAATTATTCTATTAAATTAAAAATAAATTAAAAATCCACGTCATCTGCCACATTAATGCTGACTAAATTTTATGTTAAAAACTAACAGTCAAAACAACTCAAATCTAACAAAAAAATAGTTCAAGACATAAATTGAATATTGAAAAAAATAAGACACGAGTGGCATTTTGGTCATAGTTCGGATGTTGTAGTTGTATTAGCCCAAACTAAAAAGAAACGCAGAGAGAGGGAGATCAGTTTTTTTTATCTTTAATCGAAACTCTGTCAGGATTTCAGATTTTTCTAGAAATATCATGAAAAAAGGAAAAAAAATTCTAAAAATACCACTCATTTCCGAAATTTTCTAAAAATATCACCATTTCTCGAAACCGCCTGGTGGGAGTGCAATTTTCGATGATTTAATTATTTGAAACTTAATCTCCCTTTTCAAATTTCCTGCAATTAGAGGGAAATTAGGAAGGACATTTTTGCCTTCACAATTATCTGTATTTTTTATTTATTTACAGAAAAAGATAGACATATTGAAATTTGAACCATGGTCACTTCAAACAAAGTGAAGGTTTAAAATCAATCAGACTATGTAGATTTGTTGTATTTTTTAAAATTAAAAATATATACGAAGCTAAAATATGAAATCACAGAACTTTTCAACAGTTAGCTAGCCCAATAAATATTCCATAAGTACTTATTTGATGTTTTGATACTTCGATTTTGATAATTTATTTTAATTATAGTTTAATACTTAATTTAAAATTTTATCTATCTTATAAATTGACGATAACTATAAAATTGCAACCAAAATATTGTTGGTCTCGAATATTCCAAAATAGTGAAGCAATCATATATTTGTGCAAACTATAGGGGACTGGTTCTGTGAACATTTTTGTCCGGTTAAATACTAAGTTTTGAAACTCTTCCTAGGGGTGTACGTGGGTCGGTTCGTTTGGGTTTAGATATTTTAATCACCTAACTCATATACCACGATTTTGAAACACTAAATACAAACTCACCCAAATAATTTAGAATTTTAACGGTTTGTGTCCTCCATACCAAATGAACCAATTTACATGTCGCTTAACTAAGGACGATCTCATTGTCCAATCCCATCATTCTAATGTCAATCCATAAAATAATATAATACGTCGAAGGGAAAAACGGGAGCCCCATTTCAAAATTCCTACCTCCAGAGCATTTCACGGAGGGGTATTTTTGGAAAGAGTATCTTTTATTGTCCGCACTCTTACGGAATTGAACGGGCCGAGTGATTATTAGGGCCTGCGAATAGAAAACTGTTTCTAGCTACGCGGAATCAACCCAGAACTGTTATCTCGCACCGATCTTCCAGTTCCCCCGTCGCATCGACCCTCCTCCTGTGCAAGGCAGCTACAGGCGATGAGGTTTTTGTAAGTCAGCCGGCTCAACCAAATGACGATTTGCACTCTCCATAGGTAAGCTTCACATTCCTATCAATCTCTAGAGGAAATCACAGTGAAGGCCGAGGGAGGGAGGAAATGGTTGCTTTGATGGACAATCGTCTGGATTTGAAAATCAATTGGAATTGGAGGGGTTTGGCAGACTAGAAGGAGGCAGAGATGAAGAGAGGTGGGGGAAGAAGGCTTTGGATGGTCGGGAAAGAGGAGAGAAGGCAAGCTTAGGAGGGAGAGTGGCGTTGATTGTTGATTAGATGGTAGATGTCTGATGAGTTTTACCTGCTTTCTCCCGATGCCTGATGCCTTGAGGGGGTTTTATTCCGTTCGTTTCTCGCACTTCCAGGTACTAATTGAGACTCTTTCTTTAATTGAAGTGGTTTAGAGCCTCCTTGGTCGGTATAGATATTCTCGATATAGATTTTTTGGTCCAACTGAGTCCTTGGTTGGTATAGATATCCTTGGTTGGTATGGATGTAATGGGCTCTTAGAGGTTCATATCCTAGGCATTTTCCATTTAAAGTGTTTCACATTTTTGTCATCAATACATAGTTTTATAGCATACATGGAAGCTTACTCTGCTATAAGATTTGTTGCTTGCTGATAATTTTATATGTATGTAGAGGAGATGAGGTCAACATGGTTCTGTGGGGAAGACTTCTACTACAATTAGGGAGCATTGTAGAAGCTACTGGACAACTTCTCTCATATTGGGCATCACCTCCATACAAGTGATTGAATGGATGGGTACACTTTGTTGTTTGATGACATCTATATTAACCTTTTTCTTTATAGAAACGACATATTGAGTGTTGTGTTTTTGTTTTCTTGGTTTGTAGGAGAACACTATTTATCCTCTTCATCATCAACTAAATGGTTTCCCAATATTGATATCTCTGAAGTCATTGCCTTTATCATCGGGTATGCTTGCACTGTTTTATTTGGATGTTAGAAACTGAATAGTGGAATTTAGTTGTTAGAGTTCATTAATTTCTTTTCCAATTCCGGAATCCTGAAAGTAACCCACCTATTTTGATGGAGAAGCACACACCAGCTGAAATTCCCATAGTTACTATGGCTGAGCTTCAAGGCTTGAGTGTATACCAGCAAAATGAGGTCATTTCCAGTACCATTTTCTACTTGCTTATCAAAGATATATTCCAAACAAATCCATATTTGAATTGCCATTGTTTTATAGCACAATGTTTATTCTGTTGAAGGCAAAGTGGTGGATATGAAACCTATATGGTGTTACATGAGTTGTAGGTTTGGAAGGAAAGTCGCGGATCATCATACTCATTGGCCACAACTTATAAGTTATATCATGAATTTCCTCATTCAAAAGTGAAATAGAGTTTACCCCTATGAAACTCTACCACTCTCCATCATTTATAGGCTATAGCTACTATGAACACTAGCCACTACGCAAATCTCTTCTCAAATTTTCTTTGAGACATCATTTTTCTTTTAATTATCAAGTCCTGAACGAAACCTAAACCAAAACTTCCCCTTCTTCCTTCATATTCGCAGCAAATAAGGCAACAGAGGCCAGCAATTACAAGGCTTCCCTGGTGACTCCTTCATTGGAAAATTGTACCTATACGTTTGTTGCTCTTCTTTTTTTATGGTAAAGACTCGAATAGTATTCACTTGAATTTTAACAGATAGTAGTAGGGTTGAATTTTAGCAAGTAGTAGTTGGGTTGCATTTTGGAATATTTTTATTAATGTTGTATTTTACTATTTTTCATCGAAAAAATTCTCGGTTTTAATCGGATTGGAGCAGACTGGTTTACTCCATCCCCCTATGACTAGCAACATTCAATCTATTATTGCTATGCCAACACTCGAAATTTCCAAATTTGGAATTATATTTTATAATAATTCTAGCTAACGAGACAACGATCATGCCAAACTTTAATTATTCTTTACTTTCAAACTTTCTATTTGAAAATAAAAAATAGTGAAAGAAAAGAGAAGACTGCAAGTTGCCATTTGAACATCACTGCTTCGGGAACAAGACCATAGAAATTTGAAAGGAAATTGAAAATTTTTAGGATCGTTTTAATACTATAAAATAACCAAATAGATCTTTCTGTTTAGTTTTTTACTAACAAATACTAAACGATTTCCTATAAAATACACTATAATTTAATCATTATGATATCAAATAATTACATAATATATATTTGAAATTATAAAAATTGGGTTGGTCGAAGTTGTTCATTTAGTAACTTTAAATACATAATATTTTAGCCACTAAGATATAAAACAATAGCATAATATATGTTTCAAATTATAAAAAGTAGGCTAATCGAGTTGGATCCTCGGTTAACCATTTAACCCTTTTCGTGAGTTGATGAATGGATTGTTCCATTCGAATTAATAACTTTGACGACAAGATGAAAGTTTTATAAAGAAAATTAATCAGCCAACGGGCCAAGTTAAAGCTAGCGACGATTATGAGATGCTCATTTCCCAAAGACCGGCAGAATATGCGATTTTTTATTCGGTTTCTGTAAACTTACTCCAACTCATTATATTACCATAAATAATACGGTTTCATAAAGTAACAGGTACTCGAACTTGGTTTATAAGGCTGATTTTTTATTCGTGGCATCATCCATGTCTCTTTCTTCCTAAATTCACTATCTTTATCACGTGTTTCCAAAAAAAACTATACAATAATAAGTTATACACCCCATCATTCTCAAATTTTATACCTCACCTCCTCCGGCCAACTGGCCGGGGCTACACACTAGTTCATAAAGCAGACCTGTAGCCTCAAAGCATACCACAAGTTTCTTAAAACATACCAGAAACCTCAAAAAGTAAATCACAAGTATCTTAAAGTAGACATGAAACCTCATAAAATAGAACACAAGTTTCCTTAAGCATACCAGAAATCATAAAGCATGTCACAAATTCCCTGAAGCATACCACAAATTTCTTAAACCATACCACAAGTTTCTTAAAGCATACTAGAAACCTCAACAAGTAAATCACAAGTATCTTAAAGTAGACATGAAACCTCATAAAACAGACCACAAGTTCCCTTAAGCATACCAGAAATCATAAAGCAGATCACAAGTTCCCTGAAGCATACCACAAATTTCTTACGACATACACAAGTTATTAAAGCACACCACAAGTTTCTTAAAGCAAACAAGAAACCTCATAAAACGGACCACAATTTGCACCCCGATTTGGGGATTTATCAGCATGTCATTTCTCTTTGCACCCCGATTTGGGGGGCGGGGGTGCCGAAATAGTAACATTGCACCCACTTTACTCATCCCAACACTGTTAAAAAATCCAAATGAGGGTAAGTTCCTCGTAAACACAGCTATTGATAACACCTATAATAGGTGTTATTTGACCCTCATTCTCGAGGCATTAGCGTGCTAAATCACCGTATCTTAGCCACATATCAAGTTAGTTTAAGCCTGTTTTTGTTCCTATTTGCAAAACATCCATTTTGGCATAGGTTAACTTGATATGAAGATTTTCATGGGGAAATTGACCCCACTTTGTCGTATTTTATACTTTTCCAGGGTTTTTTATGAAATTCCAGGACTTAAAGTCGTCTAGGATTGATCGGGAATCGATTGGAGTTCATCTGGGCACGATTGGGAATCATAGGAGCAAAATGGGGAGAAAAGCATAGGTCACGTCCACGTCACAACCCTTGGTCAGGCCGTGACCATGTTTGTGGTCGTGCATAGTGGCCTCGAACATCAGCAGGCAGCCAACAAGAGGGAAGAAAGTTTCGACACTTGGATCGTGGTCAAGGAGATTTTCTACCGCAATAAAGATCACGCCAATGACACCAAAAATCGCGGTCCCGATCTCACGAAGGAGGCCACGATTTTGAAACTTTAAGAAGAAGTGAAAACACAAAGTTTTGGGCGATTTATCACTATTCCAGGCTCATCACGGCCTGGTCAGAGCAGTGACCATCTTGAAGGCTTGACCTGCACTAACACTCTTTAAATACCCCATTTTTTCACTTGATAGAGGGGAGACGACTTAAAGGGAAAAATTAGAGTTTTTGGGTGGTTTTCCCACCTGAAAGAGAGAAAAAGGCATGTGTTTTAGACAGATGAACTTAGGTTTTCATTCAAGAAGGAAGATAAGAATAAGGGGAGTCATCTTGAAGATTAAAGACTAGCCTTCATCTAGGGTTATGAAGACAAGGGTTCCCTCTTTCTTTCTTTTTGTTTTCTCCTCTTCTTCCGTGGGGTAATCTCTTTTGTGCTTGGGGTAAGAACCCCTAACCTTTAGATGTATGATTAGTAGGGCTGGGAAACAGTCTAGTTCGGTTTAAACCGGACCGGATTGACCCAATTTTTTACAACCAGATTGGACATATAACCAACCGTAGACGAGATTGGATTGGCAGACGGTTTTAACCAAACCGCATTGGATGCAAAATGGTTTGGTCCGCTTTTGACCAAAAAACCGTTTTGACCAGAACTCCCACCAAATGACCGTCGACTCGTCGATTGAGTCTGGTGAGGGGTGAGACTCAGGTCGTCGTCGGAGTCTGGGCAGACTAGTCAACTCTTGACAGGAGAAAGGGCAGAGTTGGTGACAAGTCGACCTCGACGCTCGAATGGAGATGTACAGGTACGGGGGAGATCGATTGCTTTCGAACGAACGAACGAACGAAGATCGACGGGAGTTTGGTGGGACGAAACTTGGAAATGATGGCACCGTCGTGTTTGACTCGTCGCTCGTCGTCTGCTGTTTGCCTCGTCGTCGTTGCCGTCGAGGGATAGAGCGAGAAGCGGGAGCAAAACTAGCAGGACCGCAGCTGCGCGGATGGAGATGGAAAGGGAGGAACGACCGATTCACAAAACATATTAGGTCATTAGGGTTTCTAGATTTCCTTTCCCCCTTGTTGCTCATGTTGGGCTTCCTGGCTGGGGCGTGTCCTATTGTGTTGGGCTTCATAAGAAATGGGCCTGGTCAGTTACTCAGCTATAATTTTGTGTTGGGCCTAGTCTTGTTTGCCATCCAGTTTTAAACGGTATTCCGGTTTTGAACCGGACCAGACCGGTTTTTTCCAGACAATATGCGACCGGCAATTGGATTGCATTATTGGGATTCTGATTTTCGGTTGTAACCGGAACGGTTAAAACTGACCGGTTTCCAGTTTGATCAAAAAACGAGATCTAGATTCCCAGTCCTAACGATTAGAGTTTTGAATATGAATTTACGAATTCTCTTCCACATCTATGATCAATTGATATTGAATGATACCATTATTTTGCTTCAGTAAAAGTGGATAGTGCTAGTTCTTGCCCTAGGTTGAAGTGACCATCCCCTTAGGTCAAGCCAATGACACATCTCAATTGAGACACGATTTGAATTGCCTAACCATTGCATTGAAAGTATGTTTGTCCTTCAGTTTACCCTCGTAAGAATCCATACTTACCGCCCTAGCGATCTGTCGGTGGCATGACCATTGAACCGATAAGCCTACTAGGAGTGCTCTAGGTGACATGAACATTTTCCTAGTAGCGATATAAGAGGAATCCAAGATCATAAAGTAAAATAACATCACATTTGTATACAAGCCCGAATCTATCTAAGGTTAGGGGAAAACTAGCCTCAAGTACATCTCCTATACTCGAACACAAATCCTTGAAAGTCACTCCATTAGTTTAGAACACCCTCAATCATCGTTAGGCTACATAGTAAATTAGTTGTGAAGTAGCAGTAGATCCATTGCCCCGTGGAATATGACCTTGTGAGTCAACCCTTTACTACATCGCCAATCTAGATTATACTTGACTTAGGTTGGAGTAGCATTAGTTGATAACCGAGTTTTTTAACTTGGTAAGGGAAAATTACGTACTAGCTATACCTTCTGAGATTCCTTTCACATCTTTTGCCACCCAGTCACAATCTCTTCTACAAAAGAGGTTGCCAATCAATCTCTTATTACAAAAATGACTTGGGCCTTGAATCAGCCTGCACTGGACTAACCCACACCCTTTGACTGTCCTCCGGGAATTTGTTGGGCTTTATCAAAATCGGGCATTCTTTCCTCACCCATCTTTTCACATTTTTCTGTCTGCCCAACTCCAGTTCTTTGCGGCTATGCTCCCCACCAAAAATTGAAGAGTCGGAAAAAGATGATACACCTCGAATCCCTTCCCGACGTGCATGCGCATTCAAACGAGGCGCAACTTCTGATGTCATAAACCCAGGCAACAACAGTCCATTTCCTTCCTCTCCACTTACTCTTTTCCTCTACAGATTCTTGTATACGGCTCCATTTTTTCTACTGTGAAAATCTGGTTCCCAATCGAAGATGAATCTTTCGAAATAGGCCCATTTTTCTTGATCATGATCCGAACGTATGGGAAACACCACAAATTCCAGTCAATATCAATGAAAATGCCGCAAAAATTCCCAAATCGCTTTGATGAGATCAACTCTCTTTAGTTGCAGGGTAATGTCAATAGCCATGATCCACGAATTGCCAGAGTTTGAATCAAATTCCTCTTCGCTCCAGGCGGAGATGGCTATGGATATGCACTTTGAAACAATAGATGATCAAGCTTCTTAATTCTTAGGGAGTCAGCAATGCTCGGGCACACCAAAAGTCAGCTGCCATTGGATCAATGCTCAATTTCAAAATTATCATCAATCGCCCAGTTCAATATCGTCCAACTTCTAAAACTTGGAATAGCTTCTGACGTGAAAACTTCCGAGTTGACTACATCTAACTTGATCACCAAGATTCTAACCAATAATTCCTTTCTTTCTGGTAGTCCTTACTTCCCCACTTCAATAAACCTTTCCGGACCACTACCTTTAATATTTCACTTTCAAGCTCCATACAACCTCACCCCCTTCACCGCATCAACGTACGACAAACTCGGTAGTTTTGTGCCCAAGACTGCCGATGTCGGCGGAGGCTCTGGCAATCCATGTTCGAAAAATGACTTAATCCTCCACATCAATTCAATGATATAGAAATCTTGTAGCATATTGATCAAAGCAGCCCATCCACCACGCCTGCCATTCATTATGTGCTCCGAAACCTAAATACATTTCCCCCACCGATTGCTCACTCCGCCAATATGTATTGCTCTGCCCCCACTTTTCTTGATGCAGCCAATCGAAAATCTCCATTCCTTTCTCCAAATATTTGTAAAACTCCCTGAAACCACGAAATGAGTACCTCGGCCAACACTACGCTCCATCGCTTGACCCCGCTTTCCACCTACAGTTTGTGCCACCCGTTTCGGGCATACTCATCTCTACGAACTAACACGATCTTTGGACCCATCCGCACCTGTCGTTTGCACCCGCTTGTTGCCTCCTCGCTGCCACTTCCTGGCCCTTCACCTCGACCTGTAAAACAAGAAACTCTCACTCTCCCCTCCCTTATTAGACCCAGAAACTCTCCTTCTATCCAATATCCTATAATTAGATATTTCGACTCATGAATAAATTAATTTATGTCGTTTGGTGAAAGAAAATAGTCTATAAACTTGAGAGCTATTTTGTTTGCTCTTAAATAATTTGAATTAAAGTATGAAAGTGCTTGAAGAACTGTTATTTCATCCTTCATTATTAAAATTAATATTTCAAACGTCTAAGTGTGTCTAGGCGAGGTAGGAGATTGGAAAATGCACAGCAACCGCCTAACATCTTGTTGAACCTCGGTAATTATAGCAAACATTGAGAGCATTTTGTAAATGGAATATATTTAATTACATCATCAAATTCATCAATCAATGAGTCCTTCAATATGATTTTCATAAGAGGTCCCCTACTAGACAATTAGTTTGATTAAATTATAATAAGATAATCATATATTGAAGTTTGAATCGGTAGCACAATAGAAAGTACTAACTTAAGTAGAATTTTAGGTGTACATTACTTGATATTCATATGTGGACAGCTTATCGTATATTGATTGCGTATTTTGAACTTTACGTAACAAATCTATGGTAAGAAAATCACAAGATATGATGCATATAAATTTTCGAAGAAATTGGAGAATATGTCAGACACATCAAACTTAACATGGATACCATTGATTTTAAGTGATAAGCAAAGTTTATGATCAATAGATTAGACATAAAAAAATCGTCATTCCCTTATGTTGGTAGGAAGTCGGTAATGATTAGAAACCTAAAGGTAGATAATATAAATTATTTAATAGATAAATGCAATGGGAAAAAATCAACTGCTTGCCAAAAATCACTGTAATGTGAAAAACCTCTTGGTATAACATTCACCTTATGTCTATGAAATAAAGAAATAAATCATAGAATTTCTGACCGTTTGAAGCGTAGTCATGAGAGTGTTACATTAAACCTTTCAAGAGATTATTAAAAAAAAGCATCAAAGAGAAAGCAAGTAACCAATAATTTTGAGAAGTGGATATTGAAATAATTTACTAAGATGTCTACTATATCGTGGTGATTAATACTTGGACCTTACATTTGACCATTGTCGCATGCTGACAAAAATATTTTTTGTGGGATGGTTACAATACATATGTAAATATTCTACTAATTTAAAAATTTTATATCATTTTTGCATATTCAATACTGCAATTTGATTTACAATATTCCATCCAATGATGTTTGGGTTGAGATTTTAAAATTTTCCTTCCTTTATAAGTTGATTAAAGCATTGGTCAAAGAATAAATCAATAATCTCGATAAAAGAATGTTGATTTGTAAAACATGCATATATTGGACATGAACTCATGTTTATCAAGTAAAAGTAATCATACAATCATCAAATCAACAAAACATGACTAGGGTTTCTCAACCCAAGTGAAAAGAAGTTACTCCATATAAAGAGAAGAGAATACCAAAAAGAAGAGGATCGCCTTCATAATGATGGAAATATGCTCTTGATCTTCAATCTCCTCTTCTAGACTTGTTCCTTGAGCTCTAATGGAGTAAAAATCACTCAGTTCCACTCACAAGACTCTCTAAGATCGTTCTCCCTCCCTATGGTTTGTCCTTCATTTGGTTTGGGACTCCAAAACCCAACTCCCCTTGAGAAAAAAAAAACATATTATTACCTTTAAATATAGATGATGCCGCACCCATACATGGTCGTGTGAGTGTCGGTTTCAGACTCCGAGTCTGGACACGACCTTAGGCACGACCATGCTCATGGTCGTGTCTAGCTCGACCATGGATTTCCAACTTTGTTTCTTCAATTCTTGGCGATTTTTGGTCGTTCTGAGCATGCCCACCAATTTAATCGTGCCTAGGCCGTGTTGGCCTCGTATATTTGACTCCAATGATGCCCAAATGCTCTCCACCACCCCCTAAACTCTATTCTTCCATTCTTAAGTATTTTTATTGTACAAATGTTATCAAATGCAGTTCCAATGACCTAAAAACACCAAAACAACAAACCAAGTATATAACTGACAAAAACATAAAATATTTTTCAAATGACCAAACAAGAAACATTAAAAAGGATATGAAAACATGTATAAAATACATATTATTATTGTGGATTGCAGCAGGGATGCTTCTCTTGGTCACAATTCATTGTCTCTTAGAGTTAGAACATTTGATTAGGGATGACAATTTTGCCCATACCCATAAGTTTTTTACTATCCAACCCAATTGGGTTGGGTATGAAATCCAAATAGATGGATATGGGTAGACTTTGATGGGTTTGTACTCATACCCATTTACTTTGAGTTGGGTTGGGTTTATAACAAATGGATTTGGGTTTGTACCCATGCCCAAATACAAATTACAGTTTAGTACCTAAACTTAATAGATATGCATATTTAGTACCTAAATTTATTTTTTTGCATATAAGTCCTCAAAATATCAATGGAAAATTACATTTTGGTACCTAAATTTTTTTGTCTTACATTTTGGTACATAAAATTTTCAAGTTTTACAAATAAGTCCAATTTTTGCATGTGTAATTAAAACACCCTCAAGTAAATGGATATCCATATCCAACCCATGCCCATTTGGATTATGGAAGCAATATCTATACCTTACCCAAACCCATCTAAAAGCCCCCAAACCCATATGCACTTCACCCATACCCAACCCATTATCAATAGGTCTACTTGGGTTTGGGTATAATTACTCATGGGTGGGTAATTGCCATCCCTACATTTGATGTTATTTATGTGCATTCAATGCATGCATATCTTATTTTTGTTGTTCATAAGCATATGCAAATATTTCAGCGAGAGAAGCAGCTACAATGTATAACAAGTTTCATGAAGCGATAGTGATCCAACTTACAAGGTTCAGATTCATAAAAAGTGTGACAAAATTGTTACAAAATCATAAAGGCTTAAAAGTTAAAAGCAATATGATTGACAAATTAATGCATGCTAATTGGTATGTACTACAGAGTCTTTTGGATTGAACATTTGGGTATGGTATTTGGAGATGAAAAAATAAAATAATAGTATTCAGATTGTGGTATTTTTCATAATAATGAAAATGTAGTTTGTCAGAAATACTAGGAGGGACTAATAATATAGTAATGTCATTGTTTTTTTTTTGCCAATTTGTCTAATTGCTTGCTTGTGTGATGAGCAGAAAGGAGGCATCCTGAAGTCCCCAATTACAGCGGGTAGAAAATGGATTGGATTGATGGTCTTGATCAAATGGATCACTCGGTTTCTGGATTGGGTCAAATTTATTGGTGGATTGGATTCATGGATTTAAGTAAAATACAAACATTGAACCATTTTATACCTTTTGAAAATTTTAGATACTAAAATGTCATTACGAAAGGTTTAGGTACCCTAACATAATGTATAAATGATATTTTGTAAATTAAATTTGAGGTATCAAATTATAAAAATAAACTTATAGATATTGAATTGTATTTTTTAAATATTCTTGAATTCGCCAATTCAATTAAATTTGGATTAAATGGAGTTGATTTAAATAGATTGCATTAGTTAGATTTTTTAGTGCATAGATTGGATTGGTGGACCGAATTCAAATTGATCTAGAGTAAGGTGTATAGCTCATAGTTATGCACAAGTACACAACTAAATCTTTACCTTTGGTGTTAAGTGGGGGTAAGATTAATAGTTTTTTATTTTCTCTACTTGTTTTAATCGACTTGTATCTTCGTTAGTTAACCCGAATTTAAATATTTTAAACAGATGGGATCGGCTTATTGTGATATACAAAAAAAAAAATACTAAGGGACAATTCTAGAAAGAGAGAGAGAGAGTAATTTTGGAGGATTCTTAGAGCAAGATTGGAGGCTTGGATCACCATTGGAGTTAGAAGATCACCGCTTGTAATTAATTAGAGTAGTGGCTAGAGTAGCTTATTTAGCTCAATTTCTTAATCACCTCTTTTTTACCCGTTATACCTTGATTTCTCTAAATAGTTCTCCTATTCATACTAATCTTAACTCATATTTTCACCCAATGATATTTTAGATATGTGCAAGATTTTATCTTTCAACTAATTGGACTCAATTAGTATACCTATTATCTCTATTTTTCATTTATGAACAAATTTCCTTCTATTTTATTACAGAAAAATAAATATTTTCTTCAAATAATATATAAGAATGGGTCGACAAGCTCTGACCAGTACCCACACGGATTTTATCCGACCTGATCCATACTTGGTGCGAGGCGGATATGGGTATTGAGGTACCCACGCCGCCTCATTGCCATCACTAAATGCGGGTCAAGCATATGTACATGGGAGTAAGGGCGGACAACAATCTGATTCACACCGGACCAAATCAGATTAATATTAGAACAGAATAAGATCGGGTCAAATATATTTCGATTTGATTTTGGTCCTATATTTGTAAATATGAATAAAAAATGGACCAAAATCAAATTTATACCGGACCAAATCGAACCAAACATATTTTTTTGATTCAATTTTGATCCACAATTTTTCTGTCTTTGGTCCAGTCCTATTTCAATTGTATCCGATACTAGGCCGAGTCTACAGATCCCTGTAATTGATCAAAAGTTTGACTTCATAATTTTTATCGGGATTATATTCCATCACTGATTATAAATAAACAAATGATAAAAACTAGGAAACGAGGGCAAGGATCTCAAGTCGTCGAGGGTTTAAAATAGATCTTGTTGTCGACCAGAGACAGGCGGCGAGATCCAAATCATCGATGCCAGTGAGGTTATCGAGGAAAATGATATTTTCCATTTCATTGATCTCCCTGTAAACTTTGACGCTGCACAGGAATCAACCCTAGAAAACAGGTGCCATGCCCTGCTAATTCCTCCTTCAAGCAGATTATATGTACATTGTTAAGTTGCACCAACTTACACCGCCATTCCGATTCCATCAAATCTCAGATTATTCCAAAGGCTATATATCAACAAATACCTAACCCAATGTTTTGTTATATGACAATAATCGACTGTCATTAGAATACTCAACTCAATACACCAAACAAGAGAAAACTACAAGTCTTAAGTTCTAATTACCGGACCTTTGTATAGACCTCTCCTTATCACAAAGTTATCAGGTGGTTGGAACTCTTCCAGCCATGTAACGTCTGAAACTGTCACTCCATCCAATTCAACTTCACCTTCGTTCACATAAATAGCAGGTAATGGTAAGTTCTGGAAAAAATCAATGAGCTACGAAACTTTTTGCCATGAGAAAAATCAAAGTGACGGGAGCTTGGGTTTACCAGGTAGATCCCTTACTGGCGACGTCCGAAAATAAGTGCAGTGCCTTCCATGATCTGAAGAGTAAGGCGGAGATAGAACATCGAAGATGGCACATGGCGTTACAGCCCTGAAACAATGGATGTTGCCTCCCGTGGTAGGATAAAGAACTGTTGAATTACACGGTGCACTCATCTCATCGTCTCTAACAAGCTTGGCAGGCCTTGCTGAATTAAGCAGGCAATATGCATCAGATACACAGCCAAGAAAGAAAAAGCCAATGATTGGATAAACAGGATGCACTTCTTCCTTGACAAGGATTTCTGAATCCTCTTCTCGCTACCAGTTCATGATGTTTCTTTCGTTAACTATTTAATTTAATTTGAAACACACACCTTGCGCCGTGTCAGCTGGCTCAGATGAATCAAGCCAATCATACGACTTCACATGCATCGTTCCATATATAAGCTTGCTTAACACTGTCATTCCAGGATGATTGTGAAGAGGTATGATTGAAGTCGGTGGCATGCAGAAGATTCCAATCTGTAGAAGTTGCAGACATGGGTGCTTAACAAATTTAGAGACGGAAAGAGCAAGATAGAAAAGAAGTGCCACTTGTAGTTCTCTTTTAAATCAGATATGAAACTTGATAAAAATTCAAGATAAGTAATTCTGTAATTGTCACTACTCATCAGTAACTAAAAGGGAGTTACAGAAAATCAGAGAAACAATTTTTCCAATATTTTTAACATGGGAACTTGCTTCTCCAGATACGCCTGGCTAGGAAATAGAGTACACACACAAAACTCTTCCTTTGTCGAAGCCAGATTTCAACCAGAAATTAGAGTGGCAGCACTAATTATGAGTTTCTGGAAGTGAAGATTTTAAGTTCCATTGACTTTATCCTCAAGGTAAATATAGTCTTAAAGGATCAGAATCAAGCTGCAGGTGTGCATTCTCACTCTTAGCATAATGGCATGCAAAACTTTTTAGCACAAAATCACAACAAACAGGAAATGACTGGAAGAAATCATGGGCTTACAGAGAAGCTGTCACACTCATGCAAGTGGAGGTACTTGATTGGTGGCAATGTAGGACGCAACCCATTACGCTCTTGCAAAGGTCCTGACCAATTGCGTACTAATTGTGCCTCTTGCTCAAGACCTACATCAGAGGGTTTCATTTTCTCTGCAATATTGTATGAAATATTACCAAAAATTGTCGGGAAAGATAAACAGGAATGTCACAAGAATAAACCACATGAAAGAGTTCAAGTAGTAGAACGCCCAAGTACAAGTTCGGCATATGAGGAAAGACTATCACTGAATTATGAGAAAAAAGCTCAAGGAATTGTGCAAAGAGCTAAAAACTGACATACAACCAGCTGAAAGGATATTCATTAACAACAAGATGCTGAAGTTCATGAAAACCCTTCCCACGGTATTCATTTTGTTTCTGTAATTTAAAAAGTTCCAATAATTAAGAATACGCTTGCTATTGCCAATATTATTCCTTATTCATATGTTACCGTTCACGTACTATCAATACCAAATTAACCTGTGCCATTTTGGGGTATCAACTGTTCAAAGGTATGCAAATTTATTTATTTGTAATAAAAGGGAATCATGGATTTGAATAAAATCAAAAACTGGTTCAGAACCCGATATAACTGCTCACATGCAAGCAATAATGAATTCGGTAAAAGAGACCAAAAAATACATCCAATAAGAAAGATATTTAGAAGCAATGAGTCATAATGAAAATTTAATAATTTATAAGCAAAGAGAACAAATAATAGCAGATGGAGTCCAAGGTCAGAGACATAATAGATAAAAACATGCATACAGAAGTAAATTGCAGAACAATTTTAAGATTCACATACATGGATGAAATATTTATAAGCAATGCGTCATAATGAAAATTTAATAGTTTAAAGCACTTTTATGGGGTTAGAAACGAACGAATCATCCATTAGAAATGGTGAATCTATTCACATATTGGCTCTCCTTGTTTTAAGCGAACAGTCACTAATTCTGATTATGATCCCAACCCCTTAATCAACCTGACCTAAATGCACCCTTTCATGATGTCATCATATAGTCAGAAGTGTAGTTTTAAAGAGAAGAAACCTAAATCTGACTACACAAGTTAAAAAAGGAATTCCCTTCTAAATTACTAGATGTAGCTTTGCAGACTCTTCTTAACCAGGCACAATATGAGTATGTAACATGAAAGTGAGTAGAGAAAGCAGCAGGATAAGAAGTCTATCAAACTACTTCAATATCAGATAAGATAACAACCCAACCAAGCAGAAGGTAAATGACCAACGCACATAAAGAAGAATACATAGAACAGCAGTTGTCAATTGTCAGGATAAACATGTCTGGAAATAAAGAACTAGCATTATAATTTAACCAAGGGTCATCAACATAAAAGCAGAAAGAAAAACCTCAAAGGGTTGGCTCATCGGGAGCATGGATTGGAGGTCTTAGAAGATAGATTATCAAACAATATTAGAAACAGAAAATGGCCAGTCCAGAAGCTTCATTGATGTTTTAACATGAGTTAATGCAACTGAAGCCTCAGACTTTTCCTACCACTCTAGGACCAAGCAATTGTATTTGTAGATAAGAACATCCAGCATCTCAAATGTATAACTGCCACAATAGCAACTTTTCTCACTCAAACAATCATTCATCCATTCCGATCCATGACGCATAAGTTCAATGTAAGATATAATATAAGGAGCAAACAGATGCAGTTGGGGAAACTGAAATTATTCCAACAAACAAATTACCTAACATATTGCGAACTTTTTCAAGTGCTTCTTCTGATGCCGGGCCATTAGGTGAGAATGATGCCTTACAGGTATTATAGAGCCTTTGTATATAGTAAGGCATGATAAACGGAAGGCCCTTCAGTAATGCCTCACTTCCGGGATAGCAGCTTGGTACTTCTCCAAGGAACTTCTGAAATGGCGATAGAAGACTGGACAGGGAAATGTCATTAACTTGTTGCAAGAACTGGGTCGTGGGCAATGCATCCACATGGCAGTTATCTCATCCCTCTCTCGGCCTAGCTTGCTTATTGGCTTAACCTGAAAATACTACAAACTTGGTTAAAACCCAAATCAAAATGCAAAAAATTCTAAATCCTAAACGGGTTCTGTAAAACGTCACTTCGTACCAACTTTCAGCTCATAATCTACAAAATCGATTTCCATATGTTTCCAGAAACAGAAGCAAAGAAGAAGAAAACCCAGAAACGCCTCAAACTTTAGACATTTAATCCCAAGTAAATTGAACCTGTATAAATAAAATTATCTCAATTATCGCCATTAATTTCCATTTCAATAAGAACTCATCTTCACCAAAGGAAAACCCCGTATTTCTATTGCTAAACCCTGGAACAACGGGAAATCAATGAACAAAGAAATTGAACTATTGAGTAAAAAGAAAATCCCGAATAAATTGCATAAAAGAAACACGAAGAAATCGAAGCAGCAGAGATCAGAATCCTAAAACCCCGATCCAGACAGGCCAGCAGAGTTACCTGAAGAGGAACGATAAAAGGAAAGAGACGGATTGAGAGGAAAGGAGCTCAGAGAATGGAGGGGATCGGTTCGCTCGCTCGCCCAGCTCAACGGGTAAAAGCGAGCGAAGGAAAAAAATGAAAGGGAAATGAGGGAAAGAAACAAAGGGAGAATAGGGGCCAAACACACGGACGAAGATCTTGGACACGTCACTAGGTTCCCCCTATTTTCTCACTTTCTGGCTTCTGCCGGAGCCGGAATGTGGGCTTTGATTAAGGATGAGTGATTAATCATAAGCGATCCATGTGGATTAATTGTTGCACTAAAAAAAACACAAATAATGACAACAATGAAGTTGCTTATGGAGGTGGACATGATGGCGACGGATTTTTTTTTTATCGAAATCTGCGGTAATTATATTAAGTAGAATTTGAGGCAATGTTGTTCATTACAAGTTGGTAAAAAAAAAAAAAAATAGGCGGTCGATCTACCCAAACAATCTGCTCATTTCATCTAGTCTCCAAATGAGTCATAATGTGAGCAACCATGTTTCCTTCGCGGGGAGTGAAACACCACGCACCGTTTCCTATCTCTCCTAAAATGCTGGTAATGTTACGACACAAAATACCCAACTCTGTCTGATTACTCCCTGCCTCGGAGCGTCTAGATTTTAGTGTAAGGCTGTCGGTCTCAAGCACCGGGCTATTAGTCACAAACTGACGAGCCAATCTTGCTCCCTTCTCAGCAGCCAATGCCTCGGCCATGAGCACATCCCACTGCCCTGGGATCTTTTTTGGCACTCGTAGACACTACGTTTTTCAGAGCTCGTGGAGCATTCATTTTCATTACGCCACCTTCGACAGCCTGATTTACCATCACGATGATATTTAGATTCGGACCTTTTCCAAAGATGTCTGCAAGCTACTCCTACCCAAAATCATGGTGTGGGAAAGATATAATGAGCTCTTTGAATCGCTCCCAAGCATTGTACAAAGATTTAGAAGCAAGTTACTAGAAGCGAGCAATTCAGTCTCCCATTTTATCAGTTCTCTACGGAGGGAAGAATTCTCTATGAAAGCTTGGACCAACGACTCTCATGTACGAAAAGTAAAGGTGGTTGGCGATTTAGTCAGCTCTTTGATTCACCTCAGATGGAGAAATGAAGAAGACATAGCCTTACTGCGTCTGGCTCAACACCTAGATCTTGTGCAAAATCACATATCTCCAAAAACACTTAGACGTGTTTGACGTAGTTCTCGTTATCTCGGCCCTTAAAGCATCCAACATTATGAACCATGTGGATTACAGAAGTTCACAACTCAAATTTTGGGATATCTATTGCTGGTAGGATAATGCAAGAAGCTATATTCGCAACTTGAGGCCTTGTCTACTTGTAGAGAGTTCGTCCAGCCATGCCTCTAGGAGTTTTAGGTGCAAAATGGAACTACCTGCTTTTCGCTCCTGAGCACTTGTCCAAGAGAGGGTTAAGTCAAAGAGTTGTGACCTGCTTTTTCTTAGAAGCTCTCTTCACAGATGGTGGTGATGTCTTGGATTCCGAAGAATCGGAAGTACCACTTCGCTGAACATGACCCTAGCAAGCCTTTTGAGCTTAATTTTGTTCTTTTTGCCTCTGGTTCATGCTGGGCTTATACACATAACTTGGGTTGCAAAAACTGCCACGTGACAGGTTGCGCCCAAAATGGCGTACAACCCACCAATTTTTGCTAGAAATTGGCCCCCTGGCCACTGATTTTGCTTCTCTTGTGTTCGACCCCGGACCCTGAAACTAAACTACTAACTCGGAAAAAAAAAGACAAACAGAGACAAATTATGGACAAAAAAGAAAAATAAACACAAATACAACTAAAACGAAAATTATACACAAAATCTAAAGACTCTAAATACAAAACAAAATTATAAACTCTTAAACAAAATTTAAAACAAAGAGGAGAAGAACAAGTATCTTACTCCTTTTCAACGATCACAAGAAGTCCGTAGCAAAGGCTCCAAAATTTGATCCGTCGTAGAATAATGTAAATTTACATGGTTGGTAACCAAGATAGTATTTCCTCGGTGACTCTAATGATCACTTACATAGATCGGACGAATCTTGTTCTTTGTAGTTTTAAAACGAATGTGTATGTTGAGATTTCCCTTGGTTTTAACAAAATAAAAAACTACATATAAAAAAGGGTTAAATACAATATATTAGCCACAACTATTAAGAAACGGGAAGTTATAACCAGAACTATGAAAATACAAATTATTAGCCATAACTAGTGTTGTGCGTAAACGAATGGCTAACAGTCTGTTACCGTTATTAACTTTGTGACAGAAAAGACCTTGTCAGCAACCACATCACCTTCCACGTCAGATTTATTTTTATTTATAACTTTTAAACATCCACCAATAATATATAGTACACTTTTGTATACTTTTCTCCATTTTAAATTTCTTGCTCTCTCCTTAATTTTAGATAGGGGTGTAGTGGTAATTAAGAAATTTAATAATTAAAAAATGGTTAATATAAAAATATGTTTAAACGTGGGGAAGTTACCCCACCAAACTTCAATTTTTAGGTTAGCATTATTTATTTATTTATTATAATAACAATTAATCTTTATTTTTGTAATATTCTTAAGTTTCCAATCATCTTTTCATAGTGTGACACATGTTACTTTATATTTTTACTTTTTCTTTAATTCTCCGATAATAATTATCGGTTTGTATTTCATTTATTCTAATTCCGAATTCAAATATTTTTGTGTGATAAAATCTTATTTTTTGTTATGTACACAAGATACTTTTGATATGTTTTAAAATCAAATATTTTAATTCTCCTCAACATGTGGTCATCAAATCCCAAGTGTTGACCTAATGGTAATGTGGGGATGAGATTATACCAGCATAGTATTAGTTGTGAACGATCATGGTATAAATTTATATAATGAAGGCATTTGTATTGCATCAATTTACATGATAGTTTTAGGTGCCTGGAGTAACAGCTGATGTCGTAACGAATTTTATTTTAAAATATGCAAAAGTTTATTTCAGTGTGTGATTACAACTACTTTGAATTTATTGGATTACACGGATTGGAATTAATCAACTACGTTAGTGTTCATAGCCACAAACTTTGAGATAGAGATATTGAAGAAGTTTGTGTAGCTAGATGTCAAGGTATAAACTCGCCTTCTTAATTGCTATTGGTTTGTTTCGAAAGTGACTTTATGAAAAGGAAGATTTTTTTGGTTTGAGGTTTATTATTTTGTAAGTAAATGTATGGTTGACAAAATTAGCTTTATTAATTACTTGAAAGGATATTAATCTCACTTTAGTTCCTAGGAAATCACCGTAATCATACATTTATTAAGTTGAATCTAACAATTATGTTAATTATTGCATATTCGCATATTTTGGGCTATGATGTTGTACAGTGGATTTTAGTGTTAAGAATTAGGGAATTAATAGTTTAGACTATATATTTTCAATGTATTGACTTGAGGATATATGGTTAATCGTATAGGCTGAAAGAGAATATGTATAAGCTAATAGAGACATATTTACTTGGATTCAAATTTGAGGTTTAGATTTATGATGAAAATTAGATAAATATATATTTTTAAAAATATTTATCATAATTATTTTTGAACCATTTTCTTATTTAGAATTTTCAAAATTTTGGTCTCTGAGCTTAATATATTATATGTAGGCAATCGGTGGCTAATGACTACATAACCTAAAAACTAATGTGTTCTTTGGAAAAGATTGAGTTGAGAGTTAAGGATTAATGGTGGAATATTTATTTTGTTTGAGAGTTTTGTTTATGATGTGAGTGTATGATTGAATTGTTTTATAAGACTATTTATTTTTATTGTTAAATACTAATTTAACTTTCATAATCTAAGTTAACTTCGTAAATGATTACTGATATACTATAGTAAAAATTATATGAGAACCATTTTATTATTGCATTTACCAACCGAAAGTGCAATTTACTAAAAAATAAAATTATAAAAGTTCCGGCCAACTGGTCGGGTTAAAAGCTAGTAAAAAATAAAAATGGAGGGTCAAACCCCTTTCCCCTCATCTTCTTCTTCTCCGGCATATCACCTCCCAACCTTCTTCCCTACTCCACCTCGCCGTCGCTTCTTCCCGCTCAATACACTCCCCCCCCCCCCTTCATCTCTCCCTCCACCTTCGCCCCCAGCCAAGCTCCCTTTCTCCAACGCTGGAACCCCTACCCAACCACCACCAATCTCGCCTTCCCATTCTTCTCGTCTGGCACTCCCCCACCCACGATTCTGATTCCATTGAAGTAACCCTCAGCCGCATTCGTGATTCCGATTCCATCGATGCCTCACAATACTGATCGATTCTGATTTCACCCGGGTCTTGTTGATGTGTCCGTTCTGGATCTGGGTCTTGCTAATGGGGAAGCTTTATGGGCCGCGATTGATTCTTTTCTTTCCGTTGGTTTCCTGCAGGGTACGGCGAGAGCTGGGATAGGGGATATTTTTGAAACCATTGGTTTTGGATAATTTGATTGTTTTGATTGCTTGATTATTGCTACCTTGATGAAGAAAGAAGAAAGCAAAGAATAGAAGAAGGTTTTGGGGGCTCTGGTTGGAGAAGCGAGACGGAGGAGGGTGGTGAAATGGGTATCCAATGTTGATGTCAACATGCAGTTGATGAACGGAGAAGAAGAGGAAAGAAGGAGGGCGCAATCTCATGGATTTGGATCGGAAGGATATCTGAAGATCTTCGATGATGGGGAGTGATGGCGAAGTTGAGGTTGTGCGTCTTCAGGAACGCTCTGGCGAGTTCCGGTGACGAGACGACGACATTCGAGGTCTCCCCCAACTTGAGGTGCATCATACCAGGGTCGTATTGTCGGGCCAAGTCTCGTAGTCGCCGATGGGGTAGAGAGGAGGAGCGGCCTGCAGCGAGCTGGTGTAGGGGAGGAGAGTGGATCTGGTCGGAGGAAGAAGAAGAGTTTTAATTTTTAGATTTTTTTCTTTCATTTTCTTAATTATTTAATAATTTATTTTTAAAATTAATATTAAAATACGATATGATGACTGCCACGTGGGAGACAGCTCATCAACGTAAAGCTTAGTCAACATTTACTAACGGAATTGCTAACAGAGAGTTAATGTTTGACTAATAATTTATATTTCGATAGTTGTGGCTATAATTTCCCTATGTTTAATAGTTGTGGCTAATATATTGTATTAACCCTATAAAAAACCAAATAGTGATAACAAGAATTATATTCAGGAGGAAAAAATAAAATGATTAAAACAATATAATAGTCAAAACTTTCATTCTAAACAAAATAATTGCCAAGTTTTTCAAAAACAAAATACTAGCCAAATTAGAGCTAGTAATCGGTTGGTTACTGGTTTAATCGCAAACTAGTTAACTGATTATCAATATATCAAAACACCTGACAAGAAGCTGCAAAAACCTATTACTAGTCGATAAATTGGTTAACCGACTAGGAATTGTTCAACCAAAATGGTGATACTAGGATAACAATAACAATTATGCGAACCGGTTAACTTGGTAATAACTGAACTGACTACCTAGTTCCCTTCTATTTTTTATATATAGTTGGATTTTCATAAACATATAATTAATAATTTCTTAGGTCAAATATTTTCATGATTCCATTGGTGTATTAGTATATTACTCTCAAACTTTATTAATCACTGTAGCGACCCGTACCTTTTTGAAAACCAAATCATAATTCAAACCACAAACCAGTTACTCCGGATCAACCCAAAACAGGTTTATAAGTCAAAACCGAAAAATCAACAACGACAATGTTTAAGATTCTCAAGTGAAATGCCCTAAACAACTAGGCGACCTCAATCCAAAGCAACTAAACATAAAACACATTCTTTAGTTTCCCAGTATACTCATTAAGACATGAAAATAAAGACAGACATAATGGAAGGTCCCATCTCGTTACCCAGACCATGTTGACATCTTCAAGATTGTAGTGACTGCTCGCCTCGGGTAACCTCCTCTTGACGGATGCGTCTTTTTCCCCTCTCTACACCTGGTGAGTGAGAATGAGTCAGTCTCGTCATTACTTCCTAAGGTCTTCGCCCTAAGAAATCCTTACTAAACACATTATTGGGGTTCCTGGCTTAGCCGAAAGCCGTTCACGCTTCCATCCTTTATACTTTATTCTCAAACAAGTCTATAAGAGAACTTTACTCCTTTCTTATCTTATAGAATTTCTCTACTTATATCCTTAATCCGTAGACACCAAAACACTAGGGACCACCGCGTTACGTATCGTCGTTCGGTGTCCCTACCCTCGTATGCCAACCGCGTTACGTCTCACCGTCCGGTTGCATACCTAGTTCGGCAATGGCACTGCGTTACGTCTCGCCTTCTAGTCCATGCCCAGCCAACTACTGTGTTATGTCTCGCCGTCCAGTAGTGACCCCAACATACTCGATCAACTGCTGTGTTACGTCTCGTCGTCCAACAGTGATCCGACCATCTACCAGATCCAGTAGTGGCCCAACCGCCCAGAGGTTCATCTTACCATTAACCAACTATTACAATAATACATCCATACATTCATACATAGCACAACACGTGCCTCCACCCTTTTAGGCGGTGGGATGTCTCACACACATATCGCGCATTACTCAAAAATTAACTAAATAATAACTTGAACGAAAAGCATAAACTGACCTACGACAAAGATTTTACCCCATTTACACTCACCTCGAAACGATGTCTCTTCGATTCCTTCCTCAAAGAAATCCCTCCTTAGCCGAATTATCTCGGGAAAACTCTAGAACGTGCCTAGGACTCGATTGGATGACCCAAGATGTCGATCTCCTCGTTGATTGACGTTCGAACCCTCAAACCTTACCGCAACCGCTAAGGACACAAGAGGGATGGGATCAGGTTCAGGAGACAGGGTGGGGGAACCGACTGCGGGCGGCGCTGCTGCTTCCTTCTTTTTATTCGCTGCTGTGGAAATTATTAAGGGGGCGGAGTGAGTTTTCTTTTCTGGGCGGGGAAGGGTTTCGAGATGAGTGGGCGGATTATTAAGGGGGCCCGAGCGGCTCCCCTTTGATATATATATATATGGTGGCTTCTATGGTACCCCGGGTGAAATCCGGGGTGCCGCATACCTCGAGTATGGAAACTCTATCTAGACCTCGAATTACCAGAATTTTTGTGTATGATATTATACCCTAACCCTTAATGAGTGAACCCTAGGTCATAATTATCTAAATCATAATCTATAAACCCTAAGATGGTTCATTCCTTTTTGTGCCTATATTTGGATGAATCATAACCGTCGATTATTATTTCTAATTAAATTGATCTTGGAGTATAAGATTGGGAGAGTTAACACCTAGATTTTGATCTTTAAGTGTTAGAGTATAGTATCATGTCCGAAAGATCGGTCAATTCAAGGTCTAGATAGTGTTTTCATACTTAAGGTATGCGGTACCCCGGATTTCACCCAGGGTACCATAGAACTCGCCATATATATATATATATATATATATATATATATATATATATATGTTTTTAATAATAATTATACTAATAATAATATAATAGTTATTATTATTATTATTCGTAATCCACGGTTGCAACCCTTCGTACGTAACCGTTAATCCAATCAACCATTTATTATGGTCGAACCCAAATCTAAAATACCGGGGTGTTACATTTCCTCCACCCTTATAGAAATTTTGTCCCTAAAATTTGAATTGCCCAATATGAACTGGAAAATAACTACTTGGACTCCAACTTATGGTGTTCGACTGAAATTTCTCGAAATTTTGGTCAGAACTAATTTAATAGGTTTGGTGGGATTATTATTGATTATCGAGTACTAAAACTGAAAGTGCATCTTTCAAAGAAAACAACCAACTAGCGGTCTATGCTTAAAACAAATACTTCCTCTCCACACTCTCCCCATTTGCTCCATATGAGCACATCAATGTGTTTGCTCGTCCCCTCCATCATTACCACGGTCGCCCTCTATCCCTCGTATGGCAAATACCCTCGGTTGTCCTCCTCTTGGAGGCCCCTAGTCTCTGTCCCGATTAGTGCGGTCGAACCGCCTGATGCATCCTCCCTGGCTCTGGAAGGAGCGGTTGGGCTAGCCGCCAAACTGTGGTCATGTGTGAGTCCTCGCTCCACTACCCCAGACAGACTGTTCGGACTGAGCCATCCATTGTCTGCCTCTTCAGGGCATTCTCTGGCGAAATGCCCAAGCTCGTTACAGTTATAGCAGACCCTGGGGGGTTGCCTACACTCCCCTGAGTGATCCCGCCCACACTGGTTGCAGAGACCTTTGTTGCTAAAAGTCTGACCAGGCTGAACCGAGCTGGTCTGACTCTGAGTACCTCCAAAGCTACTGGTATCGCTCGGCCTCCTCTTGTATTGACTGGGCTGGCCGAACCTGTTACATCCCAACTTTTTGAAACATGTAAAAGTCATTTCTACCCCGGGGTATATTTAAAAATTATACATAAACACACTTAAAATAAATACACCAAACTTCAATAATTTGAAATCTCAATGACAAGCCCTAAACATATGGGCAAAACCCCAAATCATATTCTTAAAAGCAACAAACGACCAGAATCTCCAGTTCTTAACTTTCAACCACAAAGTCCAAATAACTTAAAAGTTTTCTCCAACGCTTACTCTGATGCTTGGTCTGCCATTCCTTAACGACGCTGATGTTGAGCCCCTCTAACTTGTTGTCCACAAACTATCTGATCTTGATCTCCTCCTCTACGATCTGGTGAGTGAGTTGAGGTCAGTCTACGCTATTACTTAAACTTGGAACACTTACGGATTATTACCTTAAGTGTTCCTCAAACAATAAATTAGTGGAAGTTGATTATACTTTCGCCCTTTAAACTTTAACTCTTAAAACGTGGGATTTACTCTTAACCCCACTCTCAAAACTTTAAAACTTTGACCGACACTGGGATCCCCCACTAGCTAGTCCGGTTGCCCAACTCATACGTATGAGAGCCCATCCAGGCTTCCTTAAACTTAAACTTAGTTAAGGGAGTCGTAACGATCATCCCCCCTAACATCTTATACTTATCGTGGTGGCTCTTCACCATGATTCTCAAGAGCATAACTGCTGCTCATCTTAAAATCTCATATGGGCAACGGACTGGCACTAGCGGCTAAAAACTCTTAAAACTTTTCAACTTCCTTGAAGGTGAAATACTCCTTCAAAGTAACTTACTAGTAATTAAATACATGTCATCAACTTTATAACTGAAAACATAACTTACATGTAATATCATGCATCACGTAAACATACATAAGCATATATGACACATAGCAGCAAATCTCAAACGTAATTACCATAAGGTAAATACTTGAAAATATGTAAGGCGTAGATTTTACCCCCTTTACACTCACCTCTTGTGGCGATTACTTAGTTCCCTTGATGTGGAACCCTTACTCCGATTGCTACCTTAAACCTATAATTTGAACGTATATCCTTTTAGTCGATACTGCTCAATTTATCACTTTTAACTCACTAAAAACTATCCTCCTTAAATCTATAATTTTATAATATCAAAACATCATTCTAGATTCTTGTAAAATTATCAAATGGGTCAGGAGCCTTCTTTTACTATTTTATTTAAATAAAACCATCCTTAGTTTAATTTTTATAAATATTAAACCACCTCTTCAAATTTCCAAATTTATTATGAGTAACCTTATAGCACCCTTTGCATAAAATTCTCAAATTATTATCCAGTCATCGAAATAATATTCTCTAATTTATAAAATTATCAAATCATAAAAATATTCACTGAAATGCGTCGGAACTAAACATGTCCATAAGAAAATACTACTTTCGGTCCATTGTCAAAATTTGAAACGTAGGGGACCAATCTGCTCATACTAAAAACATGGGGGACTAATCTAGATATTTTCTCGCAGACAGGTACTTGTACGTTTCAGCTCACGTCTCAAACTTTGGTAGCTCCGTTCTCGCTCGTCTAACGTCGAAATTCGTTTTCGTCAAAACGGTGACGATCCTGGGATCGTCCTCTTCACGATGGTACCAAGGTTTTAAAGTTTGGTCGAGGTCGACCACGCCGGAGCCGCTGTCGAAGTTACGACCATTATATACGTGGGTTTGAGTTAGTTTTGAACGAAATCAAATTCGGAGATCGATTGGGATGAGTACTCACCTTCAAAGCAAGCCTAGGGTAGATACAGGCTGTTGAACCTCAGTTTATCGCTTAGATCATCCTTTGATAGCCTCGTACTTTC